TTGGTTGCAAAAATGATCAATTTTAACGAAACATTTTGAAATATAATAAAACAAGTTAAACATTGTTACTTCTCATGGCCATAAAAACAGCCACACACACCAAAACCCTTATCAGGGTACGCTGCGTGTAAATTCAAAACATCTACCGGTAATGCGTGGAACGAAGGAAAATATGTAGGCCTGTGTTTGTTTACACAGTCCGAGTAACAAGCAGAACACAATCCCTGACAATTTTTGGAATTTTATAAATCCCGGTCGGACCGATATTTTAGGTCTCAAAAAGAGGACATGTCCGGGAAAAAGAGGGCGTCTGGTCACCCTAATTTAAATATTGTGATGGAATCGCTTTGACTTGGCATAACGCACTATGTATAGTTGCATGGCACTGCTGTTGATGTCACTGTTAAAAAGTAATGGCCAAAGTAAGACAAACACTTCTGAGTGACACCAGGCTGACGGGCGTGAACATCCCTGGTTATGTACATCTTGAAACGTCGTGTAATCATGTATTAAACCGAACTTTAAAAGTAATGTTGTTAATATCACTGGGATTGATATTGATACTGGGAGGAATAAAAACAACGGGTGCTGTTTCGTCAAAGGTTGAATGCAAACACATGATTGCTCATCGATGCTTCTGCCATCTACTGTCTACACTGCGAGTGGCGCCACATCCGGTCTCTAGCCGGGACAGGAGGCGGATGTGACGTTTTGTGTACATCAGGCCTAAAGATTGGTGTCCCAAGTTGTGCGTGTGTTTTCAGTCATTTGGCTGCACACCTCTATTTATTACAATAAAATGCAAAATAAAATATGAAAGACGCTTTAAAGCAGTGACTACGTGCCTCGTCGAAATGATCCCTATCTCGGTGGTGGTGTTTGTGCTGGGAGGGTGGTGTCTGCTTTATCTCGTCGACACTTTACTGAAGGTAAGCGCCTGTGCAAAAAAAACGAGAGAGCTGTGCGGTTTGTTTTTTAAATAATTATACCTGCCATTCTTTCAAATGCGAATAAAAGGCGTGACCCACAGTCGAGAGAGATTTTTCGAAAGATGATAACTAATTCAGTCTAAGTTTCACGTACAGTTGTTTGCAAAAGATGTTTGAATCAATCTATTGTTCAGAGGCTGTCAGTGAATTGGGAGCAATATACTTGCTAAATTATGTTACTGCATCGGTTTTCTTCTTTTCTTTTTCGTGATGTGATATTAATGAGAGTACGACAGTTTGTGTTGCTGGTTGTCACTATGCGTTTAAGACAGATGTGTATTTCTAAGTGCTTTCAGTCTGAAGCACAAGGATGATCATACAGCTCCGCTGTTATTTTGTAATAAATAAATATAATTGGCTGAGTTTCTTGTTTATTGCTTTCACTTTTTTAAGTGAATGGACATTCAATTAAAAAAACATCCATCTCTCTCTGGTGATTGATACATCATTACCTGAGCTAACTGACATTTAATATTATCAGAAACACTCTCAGCAAAAAAAAAAAGTAAATTAAATTTAAATAAAAGTGCAATACTGGAGCAGATATCTGAAGGAGGTGGGTCTGTTTCAGATTGTATTGACCTTAGAGGAGTGGTGTTGAATCAGTTGGTAAGATCATTTTTTTTTAATAGATGGGGTAGTTGAAATCTCCCCTTTTTCTGTCTCCAGTCCTCCAGCAGTGTGAAGACCTCGTATGAAGACTGGCTGTCCTCCAATGGGCTGGCTTTGTCCCCCTTCCACATCAGGTGGCAGACTGGCCTATTGAACCACTTCTTTGCCAAGTGGGGAAGATGGAACCCCCAGTTTCTGTACCGTTGGTGAGAGTCGCTGATGAATCATTAATGCCCCCCGGACCGTGGTAAATTTCACTCTAACACAGGGAAATGCAATGTTTGATTTATTAGAATTGATTCAGTTTTATAGAGAACTTATATTTAGAATTCACAGGGTGAAACTTACTTAAAATGGAGATGTTTGATATTTTCATGATTCTGATGAGCACATTGGAGGCATTATCTTCACTGTGCAAAGTCCTGAAGAGTGGTGTTGTGTAACACAACCTTGTTGATGTTTGCTCAGATTAAGAGTCAGTCCACTGCTAAACTTCCTCATTTCCACAAGGGACGTGCAGATAAGCTGCTTACGCAGATATAATAGGAGCATTTCCTAAAGGTCACCAAATAGTGCCTTGTAGAAAAAGAACAAGGAATATATGATGCACGTGGCACTTGCTTTTGAATTTCCTGGCATCTTGTTCTCTGTAGTTGTGTTATTTAGAGTACAAATGCAAGTGCCTTAACATCAGTGTTGTCTAAATCTCCTTTTCAGCAGTGGGTTAATTCTTGAGTTTTCAGAAGTGTACCGTTGGTAAGTTCTGGGGAGAGGTGGTATAGGTCTTGGCAACGTTAAGCAGTGTTGGTGTCTGTGCAGGTTCAACCTGGGCATGATCTTCGGTGTGGTAGCCATGTTCGGCTCCATCGTCCTCCTGACCAAGACTCTGCTGCAGACCCTGGCTCAGATGCTCTCCGAGAGCCCAGAGGGCTCCAATGAGCAGATGCTGCAGGTGGTGGTAAGGTCATCTCCAGAGAACTCTGGGGGGGGGGGAAGAGAAATCTAAAGGAAATGATCTTGGATAAGATATTAAAGATACTGTGCCATAGACCTCGCACAACTGAACGTGGATCTGAAAACCTCTAAGGTATCAGTTTAAGAATTCCCAGCTCTCTGTACAGTAATATACATTTACTGGAGAAGTAATTGCTTGGCAACTAGTCTTCTTTAAAGTGAAGTGGCAGAGTCAAGCTAGAAGAGCTTTTGTTCACCCAACCTTACCTATAAATAACTTTGCACCGCTGTTTTACTGTTGGAGTGTGTGCACTCGTAGCAGTGTGTATGTGGCATTAAGATACCAGGACTGACGGAATGCAGAGGGAATATCGGGCCATTGAGTTGACAACCAGAGCTATAAAAGAGGAAAAGGTGAAGGTGGCCAGGGTTCGGGAGCGGGGAAATGCATTTGCTTGCGATCTGTGCCCTTCCTGGTATTGTTTCTAAATTGTGTTTTGCTTCGTTGCTGTGTCACTATCAACAGGTGCCTGGTGTCAACCTGCCTGTCAGTCAGCTGGCATACTTTTTCATTGCCATTCTCATCAGTGGTGTCATACATGAGTTTGGCCACGGGGTGGCAGCAATCAGGTAAAAGACCCAGGATTTAATGTTCTTTGGAACTGTATGCAGACTGAGCCTGTATTTTAATTTAATGGTTTGTAGTTTGTGATTAGCTGAACAGTTTATGAGCTGCAGTTTAATTTGCATGCCATTGATAATATTTGTGAATTTTCTGTTTTAATTAGGATAACAGCCAGCAGAGTGTAAAACTCAAACTGGATCAATGTTCTGTGCGATTGAATTCATGTTTCCCCTGTTAATAGAGGCTGTTTTTTCTTAAGGCTTAATGTTTTGGAAACTCTTTATCTCCTTGCTCTGTCTCTAAGGAGATGTTCTGTATAGTTTTTTGTATTCTCTTTTCTCTTGCACATTCAGACTTTTCTGCTTTATTATCGTGTGATGACATAGAACAGGGGTCTCACTTTCTTGGCCTACAGAGCCCATGTCCAGCAGGGTGTACAAGAAGCCATTATAATGACCAATTTCCACATCCCCAGGACAATTTAACTGTGGTCAGTTAAACAGGTGATTTGTTAAATAAAGTCATTTAGAGATTGTTTGGTTTTTTTTCATCAGCTCTCAAACACCAGACTTCTCTTAATTGAACAAATTGCTTGGTTGATCTAAATCTTCAAAATGATCTTTTTTCTTCCTCGCATGTAGAAAACAGGTGATCTAGCTGGTCTTGGGCTCTGGAGGACCATGGTTGTAGACAACAGATGTAAAAAAAAACATGTTTTTTTAACGTTTTAATTTTTTTTATATTCTGTTTGTTCAGAGAGCAGGTGAGGTTTAATGGCTTTGGGATGTTTATCTTTATCATCTATCCTGGTGCGTTTGTAGACCTCTTTACAACACACCTGCAGCTCATTTCTCCAGTCCAGCAGCTCCGGATATTCTGTGCAGGTATGACTTTACTGCAGCCTTCAGATAATAATCTAATTTTAGATTATTAGCAGATGTTACATTAGTAAAATCATATTTTGTAATTCTGGGTACATAGAGCTTAATGATGACTTTAATCAGGATAAAATGTTTTCATGAATGACACAATTGCTTATACAGATTTGAAGCTATAGAAGGATAATATCATATTGCTAATCTACAATTGCATTACTTTAAAATTGTAAGCATGCCTCGTTGATGTGGTTTGCTTTCAGTAAGAAACTTATCCATTGAACCGCTAGCAAATTAGTTCAGGCTGTCATTTACTGCAATGGACTGGATCCACCAGAAAGGGGCAGTGTTTGTTCAAGAAGCGTGCAGTTTTCCTCTTGGTCTGAAGTCTTGCACTGGAGCAGTTAAAAACTCCCCACAAAGCAAATCAAGACTTGTAACCATCTTTCAGTTTTCTTTGAGGGTAGAATTGCCCTTTTATTCAAGCATCTTTACACTATTTTATTCTCTCTGGTGTTAAGAGGATTGTTGCGGTCAAAGAAATGTAAGATTGCCTATGTAGATTGATTTGATCTGTTTAAAGGTTTACAAACGGAATGCTCTTGTACTGATGTTACTGATGTGCACAGGATTATTAAATGTGTGCAATAGTAGTTTGACTTTTCACTGACTGTCTTACTTGGCAAACTGAAATATCAGCCTTGCTTAATATAAGAACCTGCTGCTTGACAACCCCAGAATGCGGTTATATGGTGGAGTCTTATCTGTTCTTGCAGAGACTTTACTAAAACGTAAACACCCGCTCTCTTGGTTAATCAGTTAATTCGTTGAGTGTCATATGTTTGGTTTAATACCTTTGTGGTCAGCTGTGTCATTGTTGTAAAAGGGTAGATGATACGAATTCTCTTTTCCTCTTCCTCCTTTTTGATTCTCTGTGTGTAAATGTGCCCAGAAGTTCCTATTGCCCTGTTGCAGATTGCAGACATGTTACCCACATTCTTGCTGTGAAGCTGTAGCAGAGACCCACTGTGAGGGCCAGGTAGAGAGTTTTGTGCTGGAGTGCGTTTCTCCTGACGTGCCTGACTGGCAGAGAGGCTCCTGATAGGGCTGTGTTGCTTCTCTGCAGGGGTCTGGCACAACTTCGTCCTGTGTGTGGCTGCGCTGGCCTTCCTCCTCCTCCTGCCCCTCTTCCTCTTTCCGTTCTACTACACTGGGGCCGGCGCTCTCATCACAGAGGTTGTTGAGGTCAGTCCTGTACCATCTGTGACTGTCAGTGAGCACGGGAAGACACAAGGGCTGTCGGCAACCTGCGCTGGTTAACTGCACTATGTATTCAACCAGACTCTTATCTCGTCTTATGGTCTTGGCATAATTAGATTTTTTGTACGTGACTTTTCTTGCAAATGGACGAATGTCCTTTTAAGTAAGCAGATAAGACATTTCCTCTCAGGCGAAGCCAGGACATTCCTTTACAGAAGGGTGCAGAAGGACAGCTAGTGAGTCTCTGTTCTGAGATCTTGTTTAATCTGGTTCAGTTCCAGTGTCTGGCCGTGTGATCGCCTGCTTCCACACATCTGGCGCCAGCATACAAAAGGCAGTGAAACGCAATGTTTCAGATACTCTTTTTTTTTTTGAATCCCTAAAATTAGTGAAGAAAGAATGTTATTGCTGGTCATGTTTTCATTCAGGTAACCGGGTGATCCCCTTTTGTTTTGTCCCTCATCTGCAGCAAAAAAAAAACTTTCACGAAAAATAGAAGAAGGCAGGGCTGTCCAGCAGAGACCCCTGGTGCTGGAGGGCCAGTGTGTCTGCAGGTTTCTTCCAAAGCAGCAACATGTGAAGAGCTGGGAGCCATTGGTCCTAATTAAGATAGTAACCAGCTGGTTTAGCTCGTTAAGAGCTGAATTAGACCTGAATAAAACCTGCTGACACATTGGCCCTCTGGGACATGGATTGAACACCACCTGTCTTAAGGCTGCAATCAGACATCGCTAGAGGGATCACGTTGGGTTCTTATTGTTATGGCTTGGCAGTGTTTTTCTTAATCACAGAGCATAAGGCTCTGTTTGTAAGAGTGTGTGCGTTTTGGCCAAGGTCTTATGATTTAGATATCAAATTAGTAAAGTGTCAAGTAGCATGCAGATTTGCTAAGCAGTGCCTAATGTTTGCTGTAACATAATTTAATCTGTTATCCCTCTAGAATACTTACCCAACTTTGACAGAAATGTCCTGCCTCTTTGTTGGTGAGGTGGTGGGTTACTGATAACAAACATATCGGAGAGGATTTCCCCTTTTCCACCCGGCGTTACTTCGAAAGGTTTCATAACAGCTTCCCAAAAACTCAGCCCTCTTACTTACATGCAACAGAGAACAACCCAACCACTGTACTCAAAAAGCCTCTTAGCCCTTTGGAGAACTACTTGACAGTTGGTGGTTTATGACCAGATAATCTTAACAGTGCTTTGCTGCTCTTGTAGGCTAGAGCATCAGTTTTTAAACTGTCTGGTCAGGGTCGTGCACTGATCAGTGTGACAGGGCTAGAGGCTTGATAAAGAGGTTTAACTGTGTAGGACATGGAGAAAGTAATCTGCCCATGCTTTATCCTTTATACCCTCTGTCTTAATCACCCAGAGACAGGCTTTGATTTTTAAGTCCACAGCATGCTGGATTGCTCCATGAAAATGACAAGACCAAAAAAAAAAAATATAGTGCCCTTCCCGTTACTCTGGATAGAGTGTTTGCAGATATTTTTTTTCTATTTGTTTATAGACTTGCACAGAGTAGGGAATGTTTTAAATAGCCGGTTCATCCAGAAAGTAGAGATTAAAACATTGGTGGGCAGGGGAAGGGGGGGTTCAGATGTGTAGATTTTATATTTTGGGGAGTTGCTTCCTCATAGGAGGTAGCATTAAAAACGGACTGTTCGGTTTAAAAATTCATTCAGAAAAAGTGGTGCAGGAGCAGGAAACTTGATGAATTCCAGCATCCATAGTGATTTCATTGATAATTTTTTTATGATTAATTTAACATATAGGCCATTTAAATGCAGGTTGGATCAATGTGCTGCCAGGCCAGGTGCCGGGGCTGCCCACGTGTGTTCTAGGGTGCTGTGAAAGTGTTGGGGGCCCCCCGAGCTTCACCCTGATTTTCTGCCCCCCCCCCCCCGCTCTGCTGCAGGACTCCCCGGCCAGCGGGCCGCGCGGGCTGTTCGTGGGCGACCTCGTGACGTGGCTGGAGGACTGTCCCGTGCGCAGCGTGGATGACTGGCACGCCTGCGTCAGGGAGATCTCCCACCGAGCCCAGGCTGGCTACTGCGTCAATGCCGCCACGCTGCAGGACACGCGTGCCGGCGGCAGAGGTGAGGGGGGCGTGTAGGTATACACACACGGCGATCTGAAACTTGAGCCTGTTATAGGAAGGAATGTCTCTTTGAAGAGACTTAACAACTTAAGTAGTTTTGTGCAGGTACAGGGTATGCTACACATCTCCGGTCCTTTCACCTAAGCCCATAATTATCTAATTAAACTCACTACTTGATTGATTGGACGAGTCAGAGCCTTTCCTCGTTCTTGAGAGAGACCTGTAAAACCTGCAGGACAGCAGCCCAGGGGCACTGGAGATGGGCTGTCAGGATTTACAGCTTTGACCTACTTTTTCAGAATCAGTTTCTGAGCTCGATTCTCAACATTGAGTTACCCTTCTGATTGACTGCTTCGGAAAGTGTCCTTTTAATCTTTTTCTGGTTTTTGGAGATATGACCATTATAAACCCAAGAGTCGCTTAGAACGAACTTGCCACATTCCTGACATCTTAGAGCTTTGCACTTCATGAAAAGTGCAAACATTTTACCAGAAACACCTGCTTGACGTATTGTGTTAAAGAATTGTCAACATGTTGCACGTCTGCCTTATGCAAGGAATTTGCAGTTCGGCTGCTTTAACTTGGGCCTTTCTTCTCACAGGATACAGGAGGCTGGATGGAACCATTGAGTGCTGCAGCAACAACAGCCTTACTGACATCTGCTTCTCCTACAGCAACAACCTGGAGAGTCGTCTGGTGAGTAAGGGGCTCCCTGCCTTCCCTTCAGCAGTTCACTAAAGTCAGACATGGAACAAAGCCACAGAAGATACTGCACTGGCTCAGTGGAGAAGACAGGTCCTGAAACGTTTTCCCTTTGGGTAGCGTCTATGAGTTACTGTGCCTTTCGGCTGTACTGTACTGTAGTCCTAAAGCCACAACCATAGAAGTATAGAGCACATCCTTACAATCATAGAAGAACTCATCTGTAGAGAGGAGTTTGAAATTACTGACCTAAGAAAGTACTGGGGGAGTCTTGTTTATTTCTAGGTAACACATTTCCCGTGACCAGAATTACTGCTTTATATGAAATTCCTGTTTCTTAGTTGAGTGAATACACTACTTGATTTTTAGATGCTTTTAACAAAGCATTAAAATCTTAAACACAAATTCTGTGTTTCAAACAAAGTAGAAGTACATGGGTATTGAATGCTGAAATTAAATTTGTCATAATATCTCTTGTACCACATGTAATAAAAAGTATCCAAAAGGCGACATGAGATTATTGGAAGAGGGGAAAGGTAGACAAACAGGTTTGGGAGCAAGCGATCAGTGTCACCTGTCAGCTGCATGCCCATTACAGATCAGGAAAGGCAGCCAACCTTAGAACAAACCAGCCTTCTTTCATAATAAATCAATCTTGGTCTTTTTAATTAGTAAATGGTAAATCTAATCAGCCCAGGGTAGGTGTAAAGTGATCTATAATAAACACAGAAAACTTAAAAAGCCCCACTTTCTGGACTGCTGTGTTAGACTAATTCATTTTATCTACTGGAAGGCTTTAAAAACGTAACAAATGCTGTTGGTTGCAATACTCTTTTGTTGCATTTGAATGCCTCTCAGTATATTTTAAGAAAATATTAACCATACTAAGTACAGACTTTAAAGATTCACTTTGTATTCATGGGGATAATGGAATACATTGTCTTGGTCAGTCAAGGTCACCTCTACAAATGTCCACCCCCGCACTCGACACTCAAAGGCATAGTGCAAAAATATCATAGAAACAATTAAATCTAATAATATCTCAGACCTTGACTGAGTGTTGTTTTGTAACACAAAAGCAACGCACAGCATATTGTTTTTGAATCCTTGAATTGTAGCTTTCTTGAGTACAAATTCTGTATCGGTGACCCACACAGCTGCTGTTTATAGATTTAGATCTAAACATTCAGCCACACTGCTCTGCAGTGGCAGCTGGCATGTTCTTCTCTGCTGGAAAATGTGTTTTTTCGATAAACAGGCTCTCCAGCGCAGTGGTTTACTGCATAATGCCACACCACAGCTATCAGTTGTTGAAACAGGACTTCTTCTAACTGTGCAGCCTTGTTTGAGGACCTGTCCTCTTTTTTTATGTTACACGTGTGTTCTCAGTTCATGATCTCTTAATTAAATTAATGTGCTCTATTTTAAATCTGTAATCACAAACATTTCAGGATCTAGGCTGTTCTAAGAGATGTTAGCTTTAGGTAAATAACACATACCTCAGATAAGACAATGCCATTCCAGGACTAGGAATTACTGGACTTTCCAGTTTATTCAATTGGTTGCCTTTGGTGCAGATATCTCTTTAATTATGTAGCTGAATTAATTATGATGTAATTAAAGTGCTGATTGTACAGTGGATTGGAAGGCGAGGTTACAGACCAGGGGTAGTCAACCATGGCTACTTGTTCGATGCTGTTGTGTGACTTTGAACTTTCCGATAAATCAATGACTGAACTGAGCCTTTATTGATTAACTAACCCTGGTGCTGGAGATCACTTTTGATAATTAACTAGCTGGATTAGCTGGAGCACTGACATGCGCCGGGGGGTGGCTGCCACTTGCTTTCAGTGTTTCTCTGCTCTCTGCTGTAGTATGCCTGCCTGCCAGCCAGGAAAACCATTGAATTCAGCCAGACATGTCACACCAACATGGACTGCCAGAAGGACTTCGTACCCAGCCTGTGCGCGGTCCCCTCCTTGGAGAACCAGACCCGGCTCATTCGGGTCAAGCACCAGCCGCAGCTGGACATGCTGTTCGTGGGGTACCCCCTGCACCTCCAGTATGCCGGTCAGTAAAGGCTGGTCGTAGTGGTCTTGTGTGCAGAACTCTCAGGGTGTACTTATGTGACAGTCGGTGTTAGTCTTTAAACCATATGTATAATTTAATCACTTTTGCTGCTTGTTGTTCAGCATATATTATACAGCATATAACATATACATCTAATAATAATACCATGTTTAAGAATAGTTCTGGCTATGTGAGGTATTTAAAAATGTTTTTATCTTGGGGGAAAAAACCCTTTAAATTGCAAACTAATATCTCCCTCTCTCCTTCAGTGAGTCTTACCAACTTTGTACCAAGATACGGGTTTCTTCATTTTGACCTGCCTGTGGTTATCGAGACGTTTTGCAAGTATCCTTTCAGGAGTTGGTCAACCCATCTGAGGAGGAGGAAGCGCTTTGTCAGAAACCTGCTTCCTCACGAGAACGCCAATGTCCCGATTAGAACGGGCACCTGTGTGCTCTTTGCGCGTCTGCGTTGTTGGGAAGACCAATGACACTCAGTTCTCAAAGAGAATAACAAAAACATTTAGGGAGGTCTAAATACATCGGCACAGATTGTCTTTGAAAACAGACCTGAAGCTACTATACCTCATGTGCACTACTAAGGCGCTGCCAGCAGTGTTGATTTTTGTTCTCGTGTGCAGTGTAAGCATGGCTTTTAGAGAGGCCTGTGGTTTGGGCTGCTGTATTGCAATTCGGTTTGCACTCAGGCAGCTGCATATATTCACTGCTGAGACCAGCTCACTTATTTTGCCTAGCTTAATGAACCATATCCCCGCCTAGGAGAAAAGAGGGGTGCACCTTGTGCGGTTCACGCACCAAAGTATCCCCATTTCCGATGAGCTAAACACAACAGGCACACGCGTGCCTGACCCCCGGCGATGTGGGATGACCTTGACTGCACCGCCACAGGTACCTGGTGTCTCTCTCGGGTGCGCTGGCCGTGATCAACGCCGTGCCCTGCTTCGCTCTGGATGGCCAGTGGATGCTGCACTCGCTCCTGGAGGCCACCCTGAGCTCCCTCATCCTCGAGAAGCACAACCGGGAGCTGCTGGGCTTCTTCATCCTGCTGGGCGGCAGCGCCCTGCTCGCGTCCAACGTCGCCCTTGGCCTCTGGATGGTGACGGCGCGGTAGCATTCAGGGTGGGGTGGGGAGAATCCAGCCTGCTCTCTTTCTGTTCTGCTGCCCTTGAACAGCAGTTTTACTCTTGATGGTGTGTGACTGCGGCTGAGAGCGGGGACCGACGCCGCCCCAGCCGTCCCTCGCTCGCTCAGGATAGTAAAGAGCAGGGAACTCTTCAGCCAGGGAGGCCCATCATTCTGACATTCCCAGCATGCCTCTCAGCCAGCTGACTGGTTCCCATGCCAGCCTTATGCACAGCTCTGCTGAGCCTCATGGTTTCATTCCAGGTCCTTCTCATCACTGTTTCATATGGAGGCCAAAGGCCACCTCCAGCCTGTCTGATCAGAGCCTGAGGAATTCTGAAAAACAGGTCTTTGTTGGAAGGTTTAAATCCCACCTTCCACAAAGGCTGTGATCATGTGCACTGTGTTTTTGTGATTTTACATTTTTATTATTTTATAATGGGGATGATCAGTATCTTCCCAATGTTTTTTTTTTTTACATTTCCCACCTTTTCTTGTTAGTGTTCTGTCTAGTGAATAAAAGTCGTTATTGATGCTGCAGCATAGACTAACTGTGCCCAGCCACCAGTCTCAATAGTAATGAAGGAAGCCGTGTCTGGCTTAATAACTTTTTAACGATAGTCTGAACCAGAGGTCCAGGACTCGGCTGATGGAGTAACTGTGAAAACAGTTGAGTATTGCCATTCTCCAGTGCTTGCTAAGCATGGATTGATTTTCTTTTTAAATATTCCTGTGATGGTAGTTAACAGTATTTGGATACATGAGCATATTTCCTTTTGGGATCCACTACTAGGAAGAATGTAGTGTTTAAAAACTAGCAAGTCTAATACCAAAGGTTTTTCAAATAAAATAAACCACAGCAATATTCCTTAAAAGAAATCTATTATGTTTAAAGTGGTTATCTATCAAATATTAAATCTAACAGTTAAGGGCATGCGTGATAGTTCTTCTTCTACTTTGTGTTGTGTTAAGAGAACTGAAATGAGCAGTGTTTATTCTGTACAGTAAATTCTCTTTTTTCAAGTATGACCTTGTCTTATTTCACATGCAGTTCAACACAGCACAGGATAGAAAGCACCTTTAAATGTGAGTTTGCAAGGGGACAGAATTCGAAACGGACCCGAGTACTCCTGCCCGAATTCTGCATGCATTCCTTCAGCCCAGCATCTGCCAGTGACGGACCATTGAATCAGAAATTAGCGAGCAGCAACAGTAAGAGAATGAGAGCAAGATGTTTCTTTGACTGCCTCAGCTTGAAGAGCAGGTCCTGCAGTTCCAAAATGCCTCAGCCTATATCGGAGGTCACCGACCCTGGTCCCCGGAGAGCCTCAGTCCAGTTCTTCTTGTAGGTTGCCTTTGTCTCAAGACTGCCAACACCTGTAAGGTATTGATGCGTTAACCTAATCCGTTGTTCAATCTGGAGAGCCCTGGTCCTTGAGAGTTGAAACGTGTTGAGATCCAGGGCCCCCTGTTATTTGTAAATACATTTAAAATGATGACTCTTGCAAATCTTTAGAAATGGGTGATTTGACGGTAACCTGCAAAAGCTGCAGGACGTGGGCTGTCCAGGGCCTGGGTTCGAGCCCCGTGGCCTGTGTGGTTCCACTTGTGGGGTACCCTTGACTGGTTCATTTTCACTTTCCTGTTTAAATAAATGGTGCGCTGTAATGCAAATGAGAAGTTACTGTTCAGTAGGTCTGTTGGTGTATCAATAATTAAAGTGCATGTTTTCAACAGTTACATTTTCTGTTGTTCAGTTATACACTGTGTTAAATAAGGAATGAAAGTGTCCGTTATTGCCTGTTATCATCCATTTTAGTCCCAATTTATGGGAATTCAAGCACCATGTCTGCCCCAGGCTGGATTGAAAACGACACATGGCGTTCAAGCAGGAGTGACTGAGGCCATTTCTTGTTTTATCATGGTTTGTAAGTAAATCTTGAAATTGTTTCATATTTGTTGTCAAGTTTTCATCCTGTGCAGAATGCAGAAGCATTTTATTCTCACCCCCAGGAAATGCGTTTTCTTTCAATAAAGTGATGCTGTGATTGACTATACAGATAACATCACGTGAACCGAGTTTTTGGTAGAGACCCAAACGGATGCAAAGCATTTCATTTGTAGTTGTGGTAGACCTGTGGTAGACCATCATAGAAACTTGAACCATTCTTCAAAGTATGTCTCCAAAAGCAGTATATACTATCTTCCTCAGCAAACATGCTAATTTTGCTTTTCCACTTTTGCATTTCCGTTAAAATATTTTTTTTCCCTAGTCGGACGTTGGTTTCAGACAGAAGACACCTGGGATGAAACGGTCAAATAAAAAACTTCGAGCAAATATTGTTGGCACTTCTCTGAGGGCACTTTGACTGTGTTGCACTGCTCCAGGTACTAATCAGGAGGCACTGATAGGGAGCTGTTTCCATTCTGTGAGAGGTTACCCCATATTGTGTGTATGTGAACCCCCTGGGAGAGTCACGCTGGACTGGGGTAGTCTTGTGCTAGTCACAACAGCACGGCCAGGTCCCCTCCTGGGCATCTGTGAGCTATTCCAAGAAAAACACAAAGGCATTCTTTCCCAGCACAGCCCTTCTGATTTGTGCTCATACTTTGATATTTCACATCATGTTTTGTTCTTTTAAGTGGTGCCATGTAGGGGGAAACATACGATATACAGAATGGGTGACGTCTTCGGAAACAAGGACAGGAATGTTTTTTTAACTCATTGCAGTTCCTGAGAAACACGGCTGGGAGTGTTTCAGTATGAAGGACAGGGTGTGTCTGCACTGGCCTTAGGGGGGCTTATCAGAGTTGTTTCTTTGTGTAGAACCAGGATAAGCTTGTGCCTGTTCACTTGTCTCTGAGCCCTAGATGCCACACATCTCCTCAGCTCAACCCACAGGTGCTCAATGGGGCACATGTCTAAGTGGGGCGCCCCCAACATCTCTCTTCCATTCCTGTCTTGCAGGAACGTCTTGTGGAAGTGTGTCCGCCTGCAGGAATGTTGTCTCATCAGGGTGGGGCAGCAGGTGGGGTCCCACGGCTTGATCAGTTTAGCACCATGCAGTCAGGTAGCCATCAACACACAGTGAGGGGAGCTCTGCAGATTCTGGTCTTCTGCACAGGCCCTTGCCACTGGGTTGGTCTGTTGTATGCAACAACAAAGCACATGGCTCCACATGCCTGCATTACACTCAGTGATGTCCAACGGTTTGGCCTACACAAAACTTTCATTCATCACTAAACGTATCGACTCAGCTGAGGGTGAGTCTCTCCAAGTTCAGACTAGTGCCCATGAAAGTCATGAAGGCACTGTTCTCTGAATAAGGGTGGCACAGTGGAATCATGTGGTTGAGTAGAGCCAGGACAAGCATGTGCCTGTGCACAGGTCCTTGAGCCCTAGTAGACCACATTATCCCAATTTTCTTTCTGGTTTTTCTTCTTGATTTTCGTCAGGTTTGACATTCAACAGGTGTCATGCACCACCTGCTGTAGTGGTACTCATGATTTGTTGTCCAATAGGAGTTATTTTATTTAAAGAATGAAATGTGACCAAACTGGATGTTCAAGATTCATTTTTGCTTGTGCTTATTCAACAGTATAGTCTTAGAGTTCAAAGAAGAGCAGCAAAAAGGATCCCTTGTCTTGGAGAATTCTCCTATGAAGACCGGTTAAGGCAGACAAATATTTTCGGTCTGAAACAGGCGACTGAGAAGCGATCTGATTGAAGTCCTGCATAGAAAAGCCCTAAGGATATAGTGTTTGCAACACAGGCTTCCAAGTCTGATGGCTCACGCCAAAACTCTGGGCTCTTTTAAAAACTGTCTGGAGGAAATATTACTTTCAATTAGCTATTCAAATTTCAAAAGCGCAGGAGTGAACTATCACGTGGCAGGAGAAGAATCAGTCAGATTTTAACTCGCCGAGCTTTGTTTTTCTAGAAGTCACAAAATCAGTAGTGTTTTGAAGGGTACATACTTGTAGTCGCCCAAAACAAATCGGTATCGTATGCAAGGAGGAGGGGGAGGGCTGTTGATAACGGTGTTATTCGTGTTGATGAGGTATTGGTATTGTGATGAATTCTTTTTTTTTTAAGAATATTTGCTTGATATCTCTGCACGTTATGCCCGGTCCTGAGCTCTTGTCAAAAACAAAACGAACTTGAATACCCCGGTGCTCTTTAGGCCCTGAACCCGCAACGCCATGTCGCGTCCCTGCCGTTGCCTGGAGCAGTTCAGTCCTCCTGTGGCCGTGGTTACCTGCGATATTTCGCAGCCGTCACCAAGGAAGTGAACGCTAGCCTAATGCGGCAGTACCGCCGCAGCCCCTCCTCCACCGCTGAGACACGCTCACCCGAGTGCATGGTCGGCTCCGTGCTCCCTCCCTCCCTCCCTCTCTCTCTCTCTGTGCCTCCCTCCCACCCCGAGTCTGTGTGCGAGTGAGCGCACCTCCAGCCCCTCTCCTCTGTCAAACAGGCTCGTTGCACTTCATATCGGCTGCCTACACCAGGCATGGCAGAAGGCTGTCCCGCACTATGGCCGTACGACATTACACCCTCGACTTCTGCCTCTCCGCGCCAGGTAAGCGCAGCTCGCTTTAGCGGGCGGGGAAGCTGCAGGTCACTCGGCGACTCCACTCGGGCCTCTCCCTCCCTCTCCCTCGCTCTCTTTCTCTCTCCACACCGTCGTCGCATCTGCTCGACCATTTTCATTGTCCTGCGCTGGTGCTTCATTTCGCACGTCCGCGCTCCGGTGTTGCACGGAAGGCCCCGATAAATATGCCGATGGGAGGCTGCGAGTCGGACGGGGCTTCTGCGTGCATCCCGCACCCACCCCCGTGCGCGTTTGCGCTCCGTAGCCGATGATCTTTTTGACCCCCTGCTATCGATTATTCGGGCGAGACGGGGAGGGTGTCCCCTGCCAGTGCACGCCGGTCCCCACCCCCCCGGTGCGGGGCGTCTGGGCTCGGGTGCGGTGTCTTTTTCTGCGACCTTTGCGCCGAAAGCTCGTTTCGGTGCGACGCCGAGCGAGATGGACTGTATTCGCCCCCCATGCAGACGGCAGCTCCTCTTGCCAGGCGTCGCTGTAGCTGCGATATCAATGTCACTTATTCTTGGCCGTAGGCGCGTGTAAATCGAAAGCGGCGCTCGTCGCGCACGTTGTCTTTATATAGCTAAAACGCACATTGCTCGCCTCTTCAGCTGTGGTCGGCTCTCGGGATTTATCTTCATTTACCGCTGCTGTAAACCGGCTGTAAGGCCGGTTGCTCGGCGCAGACGGAGTGGACACATTGCTCGTGTTCCCGGGTGTTACAAACGAAAATCCCTAGCAACCTGACACGTCTAATTATTTTTAAACCAGTTCCGGACCGTGCCGAGAAGGCAGTTTTTAAAACGCTGCGATGTGAAGTTAAAGTTTTCCATCGTCAAGAGCGCCCCGTGTTGTGGAAGAGCCGTTCGGATCATCTGCACGGAGATTTCAAGTTCTTGGAGAGAACTGATTAATTAAATAAATGTGCATAATATATTCCGGGCTGGAGAGAATCCTATGACCTCATGTCTGCGCCTGCAGTTGCCCTGTTACAAGTCCGGAATAATGACCCTCTTGCAAACTTTGTACGTAGTCATTTTTATATTACAGCTCCATCTTATAGTGTTGGCTGATGGTGCTGCAGAACACTTTATATTTTACTTTTGTTTTTAGAAATGCGCTACAACGTAGTTTTCTTTCCGCGCACTGTAAAGGCAGGCTGGCTCAAAGCACGCTGTCATTTGCGCCGACGTGCTGAAATAATCCGCCAGTCCACCGTGCCACCTTGCAGTATTTTTCCATTATAATCATTGTTGAGCAGAAAATCCACAAGGCGCAGATGTCTGCACTTGAGAACTGTGAGTTTGGAGTACCAAGACAAGTGACAAGTGAATTGGTTATTAATAGTTAATTAGTTAATACTTAATTAGTGTTTGTATGTAGTCATTGGTATTTGGCAAAAAAATCGTATTCTGTAAATAAGGTGATGAATTCTACTTTTTTAGATTGAGAAATAATATAATAATAAGTTTTGAAATATTATTTCATTTGGCATATCTCCTGGAGCTGTGTATTACCTGAGCAAAACAAGCCAGTGGAAGTCCCCGAGCATTAAACAGGGCAGCACTTGAGCACGAGACAGCAGGAGCACACGCTGGAATCGATGTGCTGTCGAGTGTGCGTTTTAAAGGTGGGAAAACGAGGAAATGACCTGTGCTGTTGCTAACTGGCAGACTGATGGGGGTTCATCAGTTTAAGCAGCACACACCCTTAATTCCTCCGCGGATCACAGCTCGTATCTCGAACGAAGGGCACCACAGGGCCTAGCTGCTGTGGCGATGTGAGACATTAAAGGAATCGGACAGCCGCTGGCAGACCTGCTGACTGGCTGTGTTCTCCAGTCACACTGGAGGTGCCGGCGGCCTGCTCAGTGTAAGGGCCTGTGTGCTGACTTCACTGGCGCGGAGCAGAACACAGTCTGCGTGCCACGGCGTGCGTGCCGAGTTGTGCCGAAGTGAAGAGGAGCTCTCCTCTGCTGTGGGGCGCTTTGTGGACCTTCCCTCTGCTGCCCTGGAAGGAAATATCAGGCAGTATTGATCTCGGCGGGGATCGGGACAGAGCATCTCTGCTCCACTCCTTTGGGGGTCTCGGAATCCAGCTGGTTTTCGGGGTCCCCTTCAGTTCTGAACGGCCCCTCGCCTGGCAGAGGTGCTAGCCGGATCAGTCCACGCCTCCTCCACAGACCGCCTGCTGGACGCTGGGCTCTGGGGCCTGAGGGTGCGGGCGAGGAGCACCTGAGACCAGTATGACCACAGCGTCTGATTCATGCCACGGGGCTGCTGCTGTGTCTGTTTAGCCATCGTTGAAAGTTTTCCCCTTACCTTCTCATCACATCATCATCATCATCATCATGGGCAACATTATATATATATAGCACCTTTCATACATTAAAATGCAGCTCAAAGTGCTTTACAGAACGAACATCAAAATAACGTGATAAAAATATCAGAGGGCATAAAAAAAAAGATAACGCCGATAATGGCAGTAGGGATTAAGAAAAGGAAGCCTAGCTTTTCCTTCTACCTAGCGCGCTCGACTGGGTGACTGAAGTGGGTGTTTTGTGGAGTCGGACCGCTCGGCCGTGGCTGAGGGCAGTAAGCGTGGCTGGTTTCCTACGCGGCAGGGGCAGGTTAATATAAGCTCTTCCAGCCCACCCCATCGGAGGTCCAGCCAGCTCCGTCCCCGAGGAGCGGACTTCCTTTTCGGTGCTTAACCACCGCGGCACCGTGCTGCCTCCACTCGGGAGTCCGTCTCTGTAAGGACGGGACAGCGTCCCCAGGACACTGAAGCCCTCGGTTTGACCACGAGAGGCATGCGGCGAGCAAGGACTCCTCTGGGCAGTTGTTTGGCTTCACTGCGTTTTGAAAACAGCCAGCGCTGCTCTGGATCAGGCTGCCTTCCCCTGGTTCTGCTGGGCAGCAGTGTGGGCGCGTCAGAGCTGTGCAAATGCCGATGCCGTACGTCTCCGGAAGGCAGGGCTGCGAAAGGACACCAGCGTGTTGTTTCCGTCACCCAGCAGGATCTGAAAAACAACGGGAATTGTTTTGGAATACTTTCGCCTTCCTTACAGCCTTGGTTTTGGTCGCAGAGCAGCGGTTTCACCCACACGAGCAGTCGGCAGCAGCAAGGCTGGTGTTGGCAGGAAACGTGTCGCTTGTTTGCTTGTTTCTTCCAGCCACCTGCTTGGGTGTTGTTTCCTCTCCCCTCTGGTTCCCGTGCCGTTGCAATTTTCCCCCCGGGCACCTTCTCCCAAGGACTCTTCAGACTTCCGAGCGTATTAATAACTTATTTCTTACTCTTTCGGCTAACATTTTTATCTAAAGTGACTTACCGTTTGCAGCTATGTAAACGGTGTGTGTATGCGGCGTGCACCAGGAGCAGTTCCGGAGAAGCACCTTGCTCCAGGCTGCAGCAGCGGTGCCTCGCCAGCGCTCTGAACCCCAGGCCACGCTGCCGTCCGTATGCGTGTCCACAGCTCTGGGGGTGCGCAGGTCTTTAAAAGCCTGGCTGCCGCTTTGCCCGACAGGAGTTCCCGTCTTCTCCTCTCTCGCTGTACATGGCCGCGTGCCGAGAGCAGTGCTGCAGCCTGTGAGCGATGACCCCAGTCCAGTGCCACTAGGCAGCCGGTGCTGCAAAACGGAGCAGCTTGGTCACCTTGCCTGTCCTTCTTACGGCCTCTCAAACGCTCCCTGTCTCTCTAAATCCAGCCACGTGCGTGGCGGCAGCAGTGGGATTAGCGGATCAATACAGGGATCCCTGAGGGACACGTGGGAAACGCGCAGACTCGCTTGTCATTTATCGATTGAAATTGATTTTTTTTTTTGAACGAGACGAGCTCGTGCTTTTTCTAAAGGGTGACCTCCGTTTTCCTTTGCTAGCCTCTGGCCTCAAGGCTGTGCTCCTGCCTTGGTGCGCCTGGCCCTCAACTCTGCACGCTGATCAGTTCTCTCCTGCCTGCCCGGGCACACTGCCTGTGCCCACAAGTGTTCTGTACCGTCAGCCCTCTTACTATCGGGTCTGATGAGCTGACTTGGAAAACCTTTCTGTTCCAGTTCTGGGTCCGCTCCAGTTTCTTCCTAACTCTGAGCAATGCTTCACTTGGTTCTCCTTAGATCTGCTTTTCAAACCTCCACATAGAGAGTAAAATCATACATCAGCACTTTATGATGACTACTGACAATGCAAGGGGACTATAAACCCTCCAATGCACCAGTCACTTTAGTTTAATACTGCCTTAGATTTTTTTCTTCTTCTTCTTTATTTTTAATTTTCATTTTTTTTAGGTAATCTGGTTATATCTAATGGTTTTATGTTACGCTGTGCCTGATGTTTTTGTGCTACTGTTCTTCTTGTTCTATTGTTTAACTGTCAGGAGAACACGGAGGCAAAAGCCTAACAACTAGGTTGGTATGGCAATAAAGTTGTTTAAAATCGGTCTTCGGCTGTGGTACGAGACACTGGAGAATTCTGGTTTTATCGGTGTGAAAAGCAGTCGGCATTGCATTGCCTTGAAGTGACACGCAGTGTACAGTTTGTGTGCCAGATGCCTGTTCAGTTCTACCTTCCTGCCTGCGATGATAATGTGTGAGATAAAAACACCTTTTTCCTCTTCGTTGCTCCCTAACAGGTGACTGCGCCACCATCCCCGAGGGACTGCAGTCAGTTTTTCAAGAGCAGGAAATGACAGGAACCGTTCATAACACTGAGGGCCGTGGCTACCTGGCCACATTCATTGGAAAAAATGGCAGGTACTTTCACTTTCAAGCAGTTTTTTTTTTTTGCTTTGCAGTTGCAAGCAAGTAGAGAGCTGACTCTAGCTGCGGCATACTTATATGTTTGTGCTGCTAAAGGTACTGCATAACTCCAGCTGCTTGACTCTCAGGAAGGACGTAGCGTGTCCAGAGATATGCTGCAGCACTGTGGACTAGCCTGTGCTCTGCTCATGGGACCAGTGACCAGTGAGACATTTTGGAAACGCAAAAGGAGAAGGTGTACAATTCGCCTGTGAATATTTCCTTAGTGACTCTTGAGTTTCCTAATTTTCGGTCATTGAATCGCATGTCCTCCACATTCCAAACGGGGATCTCCTGATGGCTGGGTTGATGTCACGTGTACGTGCCACTGTGAAGGACCGCGTTCTAGTCCGCACGATCCCGACGCATCCTTTTTCATCGTAGAACAGTCTAAATCAGCAGCACTGTTAGGTTCGCTTTAAATAAAAGCCCAAAAGGGTTCAGAGTGATTTTTCCTGTCATCTGCTGTGACACCCAGGAGAGAGGCCCATGAGGCTTCACAAGATCTGTGTGGTGTCGTGGTTAGGGGGGCAGTTGGCTGCTGAGTCAGTTCTTTATCATGTGGGGGTGAATAATAAGGGCACAGTCATTGCATTCGTGTAGTTACTCCACCCAGGGCAGAAACTGTCTGAAGCATACTGTAGATTGCCGTGTGAGCGTTATTGTGAAGGCATAGGCTGTATGTTGTGAGGGCGTCTGTATTGATTCCATCAGAGTTCATTATTGAATACATTTGCTGTGCTGTTTACTTTTCCAGGCAGTCCAAAAAAAAAGTTCATTACTTAAAAAAGCTTTCACAGCAAGGTCAGTGCAATACTGCAGTGTGTACAGTCATTATGGAACTGGGTAAAGTTTATAAGTGGGGTAATTCTGCAGTGGATCTGCTACTTGATCATGTTGAAATGTATTTATTTACCAAAGGTGTAGGTTGTATTTATTTACCCTTGCTGAATACAATTACATTTATTCCGTTCTAGATATTGCTCCTACCCCCACTGTGGTGCTGCTGCTTTTATTTAGCAAGACAGAAGCCGTTCTGGAATAGATTACAAAATGGGAATTCTGATATTCCACTGAAGTCCCTAAGCCTGTCAAAAGTGTGGGCAAGTCTGTCAAACGTCATAATAAAAAAAAAGATTTGGTCAAATACGTCGAGCAATGTGGTGTGGGAGGTTTTGATTTGCTGGTCAAGTGTTTCCTATACAGCACCTTGCACTGTGTGAGCTGCAGAGTGCCCTGAGTTAAGCCAGCGTTTTGTTCTGCTGTTATAGCAGGGCTTGGCTCTCTGATTTAGGGATTTAGCTATTATTTCCTGTTTTCTCTGTGCAATCAATACATTTGCAGCCTGCTTTGTAGATGGATAAGCCAGAATGAATCACATTTGGAAGCTGCACCTGGTTCCGTGTTGTAAACAGTTTATTCTGACCAGATCCATTTGAAAACAATTTCAGCTCACAGCAGGATTTACAGTCAGTGGCTATTGAGTTAGTAGTACGTCAGTGTCTGGGGCAGATCTCGACCCAGGGAAACAAACTCTCAGTGCGTTTCAGGGGATGTGCTTGAGCAGTCAGCTGAATGCAGGAAGGCCACAACAGGAAGCTACAACTCGCAGGGCGCGTTGTGTCCGAACGGCAGACATCTTGGCAGTTTAGACGCAGCGACACACATTAGCTAAGCCCTCGAAGCATGTCTGGTTCTGCTGTAAGTCATTACTGATTGAATGCCTCTGCCTAAGGCAGGCATAATTAACATTCGGCCAAAGTGAAGGATGCTGTCACACACTGTGAGCTTGTTCCTTCATCTGGAGAGTTTCACCATTGCCTGTATAATACAATTATGGGGGCAGGCTTGAAACTGTAGTAGGCCAGAATGCAGTTACGCTGCAGGGCTGTCATCGTGATCAGTGCAGATGTGCTGCTCAGGATTGTAAAACCCCCTGGAATCTGTGCTGTGTCAGGGCCGGGGGCGGATCTCTGGGTTTGTAAAAGAGGTGGCGTTGCTGTTGAGTGGTTTTTCTGCACCATCGCAGGTTCGCCGTGCTTCGAGTTCACCCCCATGGCCTCGTGACCGTGGACCTGCAGAGCTGCGAAGGAGAGGACCAGAGCCAAGTGAACGATGTAGGTTGTCGCCGTCTGGCTGGAGCCCCTGTACTGTATGACATAAAAACTGTTTAAACATCTGCGATCTGCTGTACCCGGAGCTGTTGTCCCCCAGGCTCATTTTCTGCGGTTGTTTTTGCATTTTATTCTAGTAAAATGTAAAGTTGGGGTGATGATTGAAGTTTCAGTAGAACAGCAGTAACGTTCAATGATGAGCAGTACTTAATCTGGACCATTGTGTGTAACAGTTATTGTTTAGTCTTTGGTCATGCGGCGATTGTCTTGAGTGTCAGTATTGCCAGAGGCACTCCTAGTTTGGCCCTCAGACTCCCTCGTTGCTTAATGGACCTTTTTCACGTTGGCCTTCTCTTGACACTGGACACCTGAGCATCTCCTCTTTCTCTGTAACAATATAGGATACAATCTAGGAAGGTTCACAGGTGATACTGACGCAGGAGGTTTAGCAAACGCCGTAGAAGCTGCAAATTAAATTTAAAAAGTTTCGACGTAAAAGTTTAAAGTATTTTCTCAGACAATCGTGGTATAAATTTCCATTATCATCCCAACAGTAGCAAAAGAAACACCGAATGTATCCATTATCTTGATGATACAGACCGTATCTGTGAAATTTATAATGGAGTTTTAACAGTTTTAACAGCAAGCTCTTTAAATTATCTTCTAGGGTTTGTGAGTGACTTCAGCAGCCCTGGATTTTGATGCTTAAGGCCCTGATTGTAAGAGAGACAGTAAATAGCCATTGTGTAGCCCTATCGTAGTTTTTGTACAATTTGCTGAGCAGCCTCCCAGGTGCTTAGTGCTTGTTCTAAAATTTAAAGGACAGCTGTTTCTCTGAGAATAAACATACCTTGAAAGTGAAGCTAATCTCGAATCAATTAATATTCTGTTTTTTTTCCCCCTCTGATCTAGCTACTGAATGCACTAGAAGAAAAAATGAAAGTTCTTTTGCACAGCAATATAAAGAGGACTAAAAGGTATGACGTTTGTTATTGACTTATTAAATGTCTCCATGGGCTTTACGATAGGCAGAAAAGACTAGACAGTCCTGTACCGTGATAGAGGGATGATAGAGTTTTTAAATGCACCTAACAGGACCAGTCCACATGCTCAGTAGTTTATATATCCTTGGCTAGCTGCTGTGCTTCATCTTTAGTTGGCATTATGAAAAAATGTAATCATAAATGTTTGAAAATAGTGATACTCACTCCTGGCCTTGGGAACCACTTACTTTTTTAAAAAAAATCAAAACAGAATGCCTTCAGCTCCGGGGAGCGGAGAGCAGGGCCTTGAATCTGGGTGCAGCCCCTTCACAAGGGCTGCACACGCAGTGTGGGAAACTGTCAGTTCCCTGAACCCAGGGAGGACGTGACGGCTGTAGGAAGAGCGCAGCAGAGCTCGAGTGTGAGCAGGGCTGTGGATCGTGTCTGGGTCCCGTCAGTGACGTGAGCTGAGGGCCCGTGATCCGGTGCTGCGGCCGGCCCGCCAGGGAGCCCCGCTCGGCGTCTGCTCCTTTCTCCCCTCTCCTGGCGGCGGCGTGAGCTCCGTGCCTTCTTTCCCTGCAGGCTGCCGGCCCTGCTCAGGGGGGCGGGGGTCGACCGCTACTGGCCCACGGCGGACGGGCGGCTGGTGGAGTACGACATCGACCAGGTGGTCTACGAGCGAGACTCGCCGTACCAGAACATCAAGATCCTGCACTCCGAGCAGTTCGGCAACATCCTCATCCTGAACGGAGATGTCAGTAAGTGCCCGGGGATATGCAGGGGGGGGAGGGGACACACTTCTCATGCTGTGCGGTGCTGCAGGCAAAACTGCAAAGAATACCATGATCTGCTGCTTTAAGATAAATGGTTTTTCCTTTCTTTCTGAAATTGTTTTCCCTGGCAGAACCAAAAAATTAGGGTTTTCCCGAGCTTAAGGTTTTAGTGTTCAGAGGTGAGGGATTACCAGACTCGGTTACGTGAATAATGATATTGTCCGCTGTCAAAATGGCCCATTTAGGGAAGAGTTAGCGTCAGGAGTCTGCTCTTCTTCTTTCGGCTGTGTTGAAGGGTTTTGGGAGATCTGGATTTTGGTGCCAGTCTGTAGCTGTAACTGTTAGAATCCATCAGCAGGAAGAGTCTCGAGAGCCGTGGACTCTGGCTCCACTGTGCCGTGGGACGGGTCTCCTGCCGTTCCTCTCCGAAGCAGAGTTGGAACGTTTCAGCCTCATCAGATCGCAGGGCAAAGACCCCTTTCCTTTTGGCGCCAGTGTATGTTTGAATGAAGAGATGGGTAATGTGAAGTGACTAGTGTCTGCTCGGGCGAGATGAAAACCTGCCAAATAACTGGGAGAAAAGAAATAGGTGTGGGTTTACATAACACAGTTTGCGGTTCAGGCCAGCAGGTGCTGTGGGTCAAACAGCCATGTGTCCTCCTCCTTGTGTCCAGATCTGGCGGAGAGCGACCTGCCCTACACCAGGGCCATCATGGGCAGTGGGAAGGAGGACTACTCGGGCAAGGAGGTCCTGATCCTTGGAGGGGGCGACGGTGGGATCTTGTGTGAGGCTGTCAAACTGAAACCAAAGATGGTCACCATGGTGGAGATATCCTTTATCCAATCGGATTCCCCTAGGGAACCGCTTAAAAGAACCGCCGTGTGAAACGAGAGGCCATACGGGCCAGCAGCCCGTAGTTGGTATTTAATTTAGTTCAACTGAGGCTCTCATCCAGCTTCTTCTTGAAGGAATCCTGGGTGTCGACTTCAACAGCAGGACCTGGCGGCTGGTTCCACCCTCCCGCCACTCTTTGGGTAAAGAGGAGCCTCCAGGAGGCCCACACGACTGCGTCGCCCCCCCCCCCCCGTATTCTTCCTTAACCAGGTGTTCACATTGACCAGATGGTGATCGACGGCTGCAGGCAGCACCTGCGGGGGACGTGTGGGGACGTGCTGGACAGGCTGAAGGGAGACTGTTACGAGGTAAGGCGGTGCAGGGGCCGGGCTGTGTCCGGCCCCCTCCTGCTCGGACCGGCCTTTCCTGTTTCGCGATGCGAGTGTGATCGTTATCGACTGCCGCCCCTCCCCCCCCCAAAAAAAAAAAATCTTAAGAGTGCCCAGGGCAAACAAACTGCCTATGAACCTAGTAGTTTCTTGTGATGGATGGAAAGCTCGTGTTTTTTATGACGGAAACAAACATCGGTACGAAAACGAGAGACCAATGGTGTAAGGGAAAGTGCGCTTTAATTTGTGACTTGATTTCTGGGAAAACCCTGAGGAGCGAAAGGGGTTCGTCTTCGAAAGACGAAGACAGGCGACTTGATGAATAGGAAACATCAGATAGATTCTTCAGGAACGAATCAGTTAGGCAGGGTGCAGTTCTAGGGCATTACACTGTATATTGCTCTTGATTGTTTGCCGTCTTGGAAACTGGGAATTCTTGAGTGAGAACAGTAGTGTGTCGCGGTACTTCTCGTGTGCCGAACTGAAAACATGCCCTTCTGCAGTCCAGACGGAGAACAGGATCTCTTGTTCCTTTGCAGCCTACGCATGCTGACGCAGCTGCCCACCTGGACCTCTTGAGGAGATGTGCATTCCTGGGAATTTAGTCAGCATGTCTGTTTTCTTTCCAGGTGTTAGTGGAGGACTGTGTTCCCGTGCTGAAGAAGTTTGCTGAAGAAGGGAAGATGTTTGATTATGTTATTAATGACCTGACAGCAGTACCCATCTCCACAGCTCCAGAGGAAGGTAAAAATTATAATAAAACAGCTCTGAAGGTTAAGACCTACATTTGTCTTCTTTTTTTTTTCCTGAGCCCAAATGATACATCCGTTGTTTGCTCATGAGAAAAATGTATCAATCAATTTAAACTGTCATACAGCAAGCAAGCTTTGTGTAGGATGAAGCAGGAGTTAGCAGAGGTATTTATCAACCATTAGATGGCAGTAAAACCCTGCAAATGAGTGGGGAATGGATTTTAAACCGGTATTGCATACAAGGAGCAAAGGAACAAGTAAAGGTTCATTCCACGTGACCACACCTGAAGAAGGCTCCACAGCCGAAACGTTGTTTCCTTTCTTCTCTTTTCAGCGGGGAATAAACCTTTACCTGTTCCTTTGCAGCCTACGCATGCTGACGCAGCTGCCCACCTGTACTAAACAAGGAGTCATGTTTGACCAGACTTGAGTTTGAACCTTTGTAGTTTTTTCCAATACGTCGGTAGTGCTGATTTTGCCGAAATCGACAAGCTCCTTCAAACGTGAGAGTTGTGATTCCAAAAGAAGAGCAATGCCTGCAAGAAAGCATGGAGGAAGATTCCCAGTGAGCAGTACTGAACTCTTTATTCCAGATTCCATGTGGGAGTTCTTGCGGCTGATCCTAGACCTTTCTATCAAGGTCCTGCAACCCAGCGGGAAGTATTTTACACAGGTAAGAGACTACTTGCTACTGTGTAGTCATGGTCTTTGGGTTTGGTTGACTTCCTAGGGTTCAGCAGGTATAGTGAGTGACAAGAACAGGAATTCCCAATGGTGATTGTTCATAATACCGCAGACTGCCCCCTCTCCCAATAGGGAAGGCCAGGAGATAGTGTAGGGCTCTTTAAGTTTCTTAGCCTGTTCCAAGAGTTTTCATTAAAACGGCCCTGTCATTTAATCAAATGTGGTTCACGTGTTTATGGAGGACTACGGTGTTCACAACTGGGGTGCAGATGTCACTGGTGTCCACCAGGGGCAGAGCTGCATCCTCGCGGGGCTTGGCGTAAACTCCAGTGGACGGTGGTGACATTAGCGCCCTCTAGTGTACACGGCTGTGGTGCCTCGTTTAATTGGATGCTTTTAACGTGATGAACGCCCCGCACTAGCATAGCCAACACTGGAAAAATCAGGGAGGGGGGCGTTGTGCCCATGTCTTTGGTTACTGTGACGGGAGCCAGAGGAAATGACACAGAAGGGGTTGTACTGTGGCAAGAAAGGTGATTTTTCTTATGTTATTTTTATATGTTGGGGCAGCACAGAAGCCATCCTATTCCAGCGGAAGTGGTAAATCTGCTGAGTGTAATTTAAAAACGATTTAACTGCAACGTAGGACGTGCGACCTGCCTTTTATTCTCCGGGTTAGACCCATCCAGTCTCCAGTACAATGCTGCCAGTTTCACAAACAGCTCTGGCACGGTGCGTTCCTGGGAGAGGAATGACACATTTATTGTGGAGCTGCAGACAGCCTGCATGGTGAGGAAGTTTGGGAAAATGACCATATGCCATCCTGTTTAAAAAGAGGAGTTAATTATATAGGGAAGGGTTTCTTGCAGGAAGCCTCAGCCTGTTTGGTTCCCTACTCAAACTGGATGTTATTTTTTAATCAACTGTTTTCCTTGGGAAAAGAGCTCATTATAGTCTTAAAAAAAGCTATTAATACCAGAGTCTCTGTTTCCACTCTGGCTCTGTTTTAATGGCGCCGTGCAGGGGGGTGGGCAGTGTGGACTGCACATGCTGGTGCAGCTCTGATCTGATTAACCTGATACACTGCAGCGAGAAGGCCGATTGCCCTTTCCTTCCGCGCTGGCGACACCTTAGAATTTGAGTGCATGGGATAGTCTTTCCTTTTTGCTGTACTGTACGTTTGTCGTTCATCTTGAAAACCATTCAGTTCTAGTCTTGTTGTATTGCGACTTCTCCTATTCGGAAAGTGAAAAGAGTTGGGGATTTTTTTTTGTGTGGGGTAAACGGCTCTTCTCTTGTCCTTCAGGGAAACTGTGCGAATCTGACGGAGGCCCTCTCCCTCTACGAGGAGCAGCTCGGCCGGCTCTGTTGCCCTGTGGAGTTTTCCAAGGAAGTAGTTTGTGTTCCATCGTACATGGAATTGTATCCTTTTGGGGGAAAGAGATCAGAAAGACGGGAGGAGGGGACGTAGCTAAGAAGGTGTTTTTTACTTCCATCCTAGTGCCGCAGTGCCCTCAGACAGAGAGAGAGGGCCGCTTGAAGCTGTAACCCAGTGCACTCTGGTCTGGTCTAGGAGCGCCTCCAGTCTGTGGGGCCCCCAGTCCCCAGAGCTGACTGGTGCCACTAACTTAGAGTAACCCGGGTCTCCTGGTTTCTGCTCCAGCTAGGTTCTTAATCATAGGCTAGTTTATCTCCATTTTTCTAATCGAGTTGTCTTTTTAAATTGGCTCTTAGAAAGGTGAATGAGATTTGGGATTAGCCCTGTGCTAATTAGTGAGTCTGGCGACTGCCCTTATTTGGGTGTGTGAGCTGAAATACAACCAGGTAGATTTATCCAGAAGGAAAGACACGTGACTTTTACTGTGGGAGATATCTGATAGTGTCTTGTCTTCATTACCCATGTCTATGCATCATCGTTTCATCACCTGTTATGGGCTGTTTAGTCAGAAATAAGGGAGCTACTTCTTAATGAGCAAGTTATTACTCAGGGTGGTGTCATACAATTTCAATGACGCTGTTCCTGTTTGTTTTTGTTTCCTGAAGTACAGTATTGACAGCAGCATTAAGTGGCTCCAGCACGATGCTCTAGTTCGGCACTGAACTGACATTGCAGTCAAGTTTCTGTCAGAATCTTAGCTTTGGCAAGCCTGTTCTTACTTAAACCGTTTTGAAAAACACAACAAAACAGTAAAACACTTGAGCATAGCCTCCCAACACTGCCCTGAGCTTCCTACTGGCTGGCTGCTAAAAAAAAATCAGACAGCTGTGGTAGAAGTGCCAGTGAAGTAAGGATTCCACAGTGTCAGCAGACTCCATCCCTGACACGGGCACCCTGGGTCCAAGTGGCAATGAGATCCGTATAAATAATTAAGGAGATGAAGATTGAGCGATACCAGGGGAGGAAATTTGACATTTCTTCGACTGTGGTGAGCAAGAAAAAATGAAGCTGTGATGGACAAGACACAAGGGCAGGCTAATGACGGGCTCTGTAACGGTAGCGGTGTATCATATTGAAATTATTTTTAGCATAGTGATTAAGGGTAATGGCAGGATGCACACCTTCCTGAAGCCAAGTGTTCTATAAACAGAACTGTAATTATTGCACTTGACATCAGAGTGTTGTCTGTGCAGGGTGTAAGACGTTTCCCTGGGTGACAATTTGTAACATCCCGGAGAAGGAGAGGAAATGTGACATGTGTATATATATACTGAAGCAATCCGAAATAACCCTCAAAGAAAGACAATGCTAAGGAATGATTCTTTGGCATTAGGTTTTACTTTCTGCTACTTCCTTTCAATTCCGATGTGAATTCATCAGTGAGCTCAGTGATGCTTCGTGAATTTGTAAAGAGATGGAAACTGATCAGCTCAAACTGTAGATTTAGTATCATTGAGCATTGTTAGCTTACAACAAGGATTTCAAACACACCCAGAACATGTTTTAATACTACACTGCTGGATATGATTAATTATAAACTTTGTTGCTTTTGTGTGCTGGAAAATGGTTGCGATGTTTGTCCACGCAGAAGCGGGGTCACTTGTGCACGAGACTGTGCTGTCATTTAGAGACAGGAAGCAGGCACGTCCATCCACCAAGTGTCATAAAGAAATACTTCTGGTGCGCGGTCGTGTAATGGCAAGTGGAACTGGAGGATTGGAACCAGGCAGGATCACGCCTGGATTGGGCCGCACTGCCCTTGATGACCCACACAGGAACACTTCTGAGGTTTTGATCGCTCATCAGCCTCTAGCCCAGCCACGGTAAATGGCTCAGGCCTATACAAAAACAGAAAGACTTTCTGTCATTTAGGCATCTAATGAAAGGCGTTTATTGTGTTTCAGCGATGCTGGGGCTATACGTGACTGTCACTGTTGATTAACCAAGGGCTGGCTTGATAATCTGACATCTCTGTCGGGGTTTCTGGTGCCTTGCCGTCTAGTTATGCTACGTGGATGGTGAAAGACTGAGAACAACTGTTCTTTTGAGCGGCGTTACGTATTTCCCAGCTCCTATCTTAGCGGAGCTCGTGGGGTGACGTCAGCGCCCTCCCTGCGCGTAGCAGGGTCCTCAGCTGCCTGTGCTGGGGGAGGTCTCCTTTAGCTCACTCGGTTGGTGCCCTGTTGCGTTACGCCGGAGACCGGGGTTCGCGCCCCAGGTGTGGGGGAGGGAACGGGCGGCGGGGGGGCACGACCCTGCGCGGAGCCGCGACTGACACAATATGTTGATAGTTTTCTTTGCCTTTTTTACTGTAACACTGCTTTTTTTGATACAGCATTAAAAGCAAAGAAAATGTGCACCCGCCCCCCCAAAAAAAACAATGTTTTTTAACTACCTGGAGTTTTCTGCGCATCGTCCCGTTTTGAGCTCAGCTGGCCGATTGCCAGCGTGCAGGGGTACCCGAAGGATAGGTCTGGTGCAGCAGCTGAGGGTTCGAGACCCCGCTGCCCTCTTCTGGAGCTTTGTGCTACTGCAGGTTTTTATAAAGGAAATGGGGTTTCACGTCTGCGCATGTCCTCCTTGACGCCTTCTCTCAGGTGGGTGTTCTACACCGTGTGGAAGAAGTAACTCCAGTTCCCAACTCCAGAGCGCCTCCTGCAGGAAGAACACTGAGGGGAAGCAGGCCTGAAGCCTGAATTCCAGGCGTCCCTTACACTGTAAAGAGACTCAGAAATCCAGTTTGCTGTTTTTTTTCTGTTGTATGTCTACATTACTATAATAATTACTGTTATTCCTGGTTTTTTTTTTGTTTTTTAAAAGTCAGGATTGAAAGGTGAATGTTTTTTTTTTTTCCCGGACGGGATGGTTAGTATTTCTGTGAGATTCTGAAGTCGCAGGTGATTGGTGAGTGGAGCCAGAAAGCTGCTGATTGCACTGAAACAGAATGTGACCAGGCTCTGCAATTCCAACAGCCTCTTTAAAAAGTTCTTCCGATGGTTTTCTTCATGTTTGCTGTCTTCTTCATAGCACAAGGCTTTGAAAATCACTTTTACGATTGTCATTTTTTGGGGGGGGTGGTTGCACTCTACTTTTGTTCTGATTTATGGTGCTTTAAATGTACAGCCAGTGACTTGATTTAAACTAGGGCTTCCAGTTCTGTGCTGGCGTTGACCCATGGAAGAGCAGACTGTGTGAAGCTTCGTGAAGAAGGGAAATGGCTCATTTGTTTTAAGCTTCGTCACTGCTAATTCTTGTTTTCTTTCCCCGCTCTGTCAAGACCTTCCCAGCAAGCATCACTGGGAATTCTCTCACCCCTGTCCACTTGGCTCCTGGGCTGCAGTGTGGCTCTGCTGTTTGATACAGGCCGCTTTTCGTTCTACCCTTCTCAACAGCTGGTTTGGATAATCTTATTTTCAAGCTGTTCTTGAATTTCCCAATGCAGATGCGGAGCGAGGAGGTAGTTCTTTCTTTAAATTCTGCTGCCGAAAGTTCAATTTTAAATGAAAGTACTCCAAATCCGACCTCAGGGTGAATGCTTCTACAGAAATGGTGACGGGACTTGTTCCTGCATGCCAATCCAGTCACGTCAGCTGCAGACCCGATTTCACTGAAGCTCACGCGGGGTAGAGATTGAGTTTAACACCGTTTGTCTTAAAAGGTGCTATTTAACCATCGTTAGTTCCCGACAGGAAGGTAAAACCCGTGAGCTCATAGCCAGGAGCTGGTTCCTTGATCAGTGAGGGATATTATTCATTAACACTAAACACCTTGCAGCAGTGACATCCCCCAGTGTCCGACTCTGCTGTGGCATCACAGCAATCCCAGCAAGGGCAGAGAAGAGTCGACAATGGACACATGAAGTCCTCACGGTGTCCCAGTTGTGTTTTTAGTACCCTGGGGGTGGGCAAATAAGGGTTCTTCTGCAGTAATAGGGTATACTGAGGTAAAGGATTTAATAAGATCTGAGGTCTCTAATAAAGCAGCTGGACTCCTCATCTCACAGCTTTCCCTGAGAGCCCCCGGATATGGGACAGGGTTTCCTTGCTGCTTTTTCCCCCAGACCTGCCAGTTCAGTCTGATGTGGATTTCGACCCACCGAGCGAATTCTCAAATTCCTTATCAAGAGTCAGTTAGCAGGGGTCTGTGATTAAGGTACCGATGATTTTCCAGAGGGTGGGTTTCTGGTGCTTGGCCACGGCTGTCCAGCGGGGCCGTCTTCTGGGAGCTGACCTGCTTGTAGGATGGAAAAGAAAGGGTGAGGTTTGGCCCGGCGGCGCCGGGGGCCAAATGGCGAGATTTCCAACTGGGCTGTAGTGGCATCAGGGAAGCAGCTGCAGTGCTGGTGACTGAGACACGTGTGAGCTGTATGCAGGCCACACCATGCAAATCAGGATCATATCACTGGTCTCAAGCGCCATAAAACTCTCACCCCCGACAAATCTGGTCCAATTATTTGTGCGTCACTCTTCCAAAGAAAAATGGTTCAAGATCTGCCTTCATATGCGCGCTTCCCAAGTCCTTACTCTGAAGAGTTAACTGAAACTGAGGGTATTTTTCCATTTCCTCTGTGATAAAAAAAAGCTGAAGTCAGTCCTGAGGTTTTTAAGTTGCCCATTACGCCTGTTTTCAAACAGATTTAAACTCCGCCACACGGTCCCTTGAGATTGCTGCCCACTGAACAGCCTCATAATATCTTGACAGCCATGTGGTTGTTTTCTCCTCCTGCTGCGTCTTTTTCTTGCCTCTGTTCACCAACGGTTTGCCCATTCGAGATGCTGAAAGCAAGGCTGTATCTGTTTGAAACAGAAAAACAGAGGCGCACTCTAGGTACTGCTGATGGAGCAGTGAAGGTGCAGCTGTTGTGTGGAGAATCTTTTCACCTGGGCTTGAGCCATTTTGTGTTCTGTTAGGGGGGCACTTTATTAATTCAGCTTGCTCAAAAGGAGATTTTTTTCTTAATAGTTTTTTTTTCCAGAAGCCGAATGTTGATTGTTGGTTTCAGTGTTAGGAAAACAACTTGACAAAAATATTTTTAATTAAAGAGGTGCAATGGGATATCATAGTTTATTTTTATATGGAGGTAATGAGAAAGGTTCAGAGAAAGATGACCCGGCAGAGTGAGTCAATAAGCTGGAGTCTTCGTGTGCGTGTTTGGCCTGGAGGGAGGGACCCTGCAGGTCCTGTGGTTTATAGAAGTGTCAGTCCGATGTATTTTGACTTTGTGTTTGAAATGAGACCATTGGACTTGAAGGGATATGGCTCACAATTTTATTTTAGTTTTTACTTCATTGCAATTTCACATTCAGTTTGCACTCTTCTTGGAGAATTCGGCAGCACTGTTAATTGAAGAGTGAGTCTTGTCTAGTCAAATTCTTAGGTCCGAGTATCATAATGGATTATTCCTCCAGCATTTTACAGCCCTGCTTCGAAATGTTTTTTTTTTTTTTTTTGCATTTTAACAGGATCCTCTGCATCCTGTTTTGTTTGCTGGGGCTTAACCCTCGAATTTATTTATGGGCTGTTGACTAAAAACGTGATAAAAATATTTTTTTTAAATTTAGAATCACCATTCGTTTTTGTTTTACTTGCTTTGATGCGGAGCAGCCCTACACCAGTACTGACAGTCTTGAGCGGCACCAGGTACCCAGTCTCGAACCTGTGTTCACAGGGTTCATCCTGGGCCGTCGCTGGTTGAGGCTGAAGTTGCCCAGGTTTGTTTTGCCCTGTTGCTCTGTTTTTTGTTTTTTCAACAAAAAGAGTATATTTGATCGGTGCTGCTGTGGATGTTAAAAATAAGCCCATCACTGCTCACTGTCTCCTGACATTCCGATGTGTTCAAGTCATATACAGAACATTAGCCCAGTGGTGAAACACCATGAATGTGTTTTAAAAATGTGCAGTTTAAGTGTCTACAGGAGGGTATTCTATCAACGTGAATGGATGTCAAGTTTCGGCTTGAACATAATACTGTACATTTAATATCCACTTAAAAGTGAACAGCCCCATTAATTTGTTTGGAATCCTTTGTGTGCCAGGTGTTAAAAACTAACACGTCTAAGAAATGGAGACTTGTAAGTCTCATCAGGATATAACAGTATAATGAAGATGGTGGTAATGCTAAGTACCAGTAATGTAAAAGCTTATATGAAAGTGAATAATTGTTTGCACCTGTATTTTGGCACTTAAGTGCTTAAAAGTCCCAAGGTTTGAAAATATTATTTATCAGCATGTTGTCATTGATCGAACTGTTTTTTTTGCCTCTGTGTCATCCTAGTCTGCATTAAGTGAGTTGAACTTTGCATAGCAGGGATCTTTATGCTGGAGAAATGTAGATGTTACCTCCTATTATTTCTTACATCTTGAATGATTTTTGGACTTGCTGCGATTTCGAATGCTGACTCGCTGTGCTGTTTTTACGCAATGAAGCAGAAGACATTCTTACACGTTCTTATAAAGAAATTGTGACGAGAGCCATATGAACAGGGCTGGGGGGAGGAGGGGGTGTTGGAGAGATGGAGTCGCTCTGCAGTAAGAGTGAAGGTGGGCAGAAAGGTTTCTGGTGCCGGTTCTTCCCTGACCTTCAGTGCAGAGGCTGGTTGTGTGTCCAGCCCTTGGGAGAAATGCTGGGCCCTGTTGAGCACCAGACCTCAAGGTGTAAACCGGGGTGAGTCAACCTGGGCACCTCCCATTCCATGTCATTACAGGGCTTCTCCAAAGCTTCATTCACCCGGGTGCTGAAGATCACTTTGAGCAATGGAATGGGAGTGTCTAGGTTCACTATTTCAGGTGCATATTCCTCACTTTGACTTCCACATCTGGGTGGGAGTTCTTGTGAAAAGCAGTGCAATAAAGGGCCTTTTTCTGTGACTGTTTAAGATCTGTTGAACGAGGCAGTAAAAACTGGCTTTCCACAGGTCGTCTCCAGAATGATTGTTCTTCGCTCTGTCACCTGTTCAGAGAGCTTTCTTGTGAGCTGGTTTCCTCTGGGACATGCACAAAACACACATGTGTTTACTGTTTTCTCTATAAACTTCTGCTTTTTGCTCTTGCCCCCAGATCAGCAGGATTCCAATGAAGGCTGTGGCTGACCACTTTGCTCGTATGTACACTTGCAAATCCATTTGCCCAAACTTTTGTTTGCACTAACGTCTGCTCCCACCAAAGTGTAGAAATGTTTGAGAGTATTTTATCTAGGCACTGAAACCTTGTTGAGCATGCTGTAGGTGCGGTACACTGTTAAATAAACTTACTTTCGTGGCAAGTGGGTGGAATTTGTATTTTTTTAATAACCTGCCAACATCTTCGTAGGCTTGCACAGTTCCTAGACTGCTATGAGAATGCCACTGAACTCTTCATGACTCCTGGAGGACTAAGTTCTGTTTGGCAGATCTGTTTTGTCTTTCCTGTAATTGCTAAGAAATTAAGATTATGTTAAAACAGCCAGTGAAGCACATGTGTTTAAAAAAACACTGGTTTTATTTATATAAAACATGAATATTGTTCTCTGTAATGTTCAGAAGGTTAAACTGGTTTCTTGTTGATCTAAATGGAGCACTCAGCCTGTATATCTGCAATGTGTGTGTGGTTGTAAGTATACAAACGCACCCAGTTTTTGAGCTAAAAAAAAATGTAACACTGCTCAATCATTTCCAGATGGAAAGAAATGTGGTCTTGTCAAACCCTGTGCTTGTATGGGTTAAGTTACAGATCCATTAGTCACGTTAACCACCACAGCAATCACTCGGCACCCCAAAAAAAGAAGGGGGAAGTTTCCTGAAATGCCAGACTCCCTCACCACTCCAGAAGTTCACAGTAACTGGAAATAACAGGACAAATAAGGATTTTTTTCATCATCAAATCTATAGATGTTTTTGCAGAAGTGAAGAGGCTGAAAATGTCTGTCAAGGCAGCTTGGTGTTCAAAATTTCCCTTTATGCTTCCGGAAGGTGGAAATAGTGAGAGAAATTAAATTCATCATTATCCCATGTATCAGAATATATGGAAATACATCTAGAATCTGTGCTTGTCCTTTACGTCTGCAATTTTCATCTGTTTTTTTTTTTTGGAGGGGACCGATCTGCAAGACAAAGCTTGCTGTAGTGGTTGCAGATTCTGTTGTCGTAGGTATAACCTTTCACAGGGACAGCTGTGTATTAATGAGACTGTGAAACGTCCCTCAATGCAGTGTGCTCTACTGGTGGTTCCCGAAGGCTTCCTTAGAAGTGGGTTTTACTTTGTGTGAAAGGAGCAGATTATAGACTGCCTTCTGCTTTGATCAGCGATTTCCTGGCAAAATTAAATTGTGACCCGTGATTTGCAACACAACTTACATCAGAACAAAAGACGTTAAATAAAAACATCTTGCTTGTCATAACTCCTCGAAAAGACTGCTGTTCTTAATTTGTTGTGAATAAACTTGCGGAAAAGGCCGAGATGGAAAATGTAACCAGTAACAGTTTTTCCAAAATGTTTTTCGCAGCTCTCACAAATAGGGTTGGATTTATTTGAAGTCGGATTCTACCTCTACATCTGGATTTTGCAAACCTGGAAAAATGGGATTCAATAACTTAATACATACTGTACCAGCTTTTGCGTTATCTGAGCCCAATGTTTATAGGGTGACGTATCGGTTACAGTGACTAAGTGATATACTGTGTAGCTTAATTCAATGCAATATTATTGAAATTAGTTTACAAAGTAAAGAGGACCTTTTAGCGCATTTAGAACTAATTTGGATTTTAGTAACAAATTAATCCAAGTGTCTCATCCATATGTTTCTTGAAAGAATCCAAGTCATCAACTTAAAAGCTTTAACATCACGACTGGGCAGCTTGTTCCAGAATGGATGTCAAAGTGGGGTCCTGACTGCTTGGTCTTTAAAGTTCCCCTTGCACTGTCTGAGCGTCATTAGCCCCAGCATCCTGGTTAAATTCCAGCAGTTCCCCAACATTCCCCCTTAATTCAATTGCCAAAGTAACTTCTGGGTCCTCCCTCATGATCTGTTGAGTGGTGCTGTGTGTCATGCAGGTGGGACTGCACTCCAGATAGTCCCCTCCTATAAAACTCTCTGGGGTCCTTTGGAATGAACTGTGGTACTGTATGTAAAGGTAAGCAATTAAATTCCCCCACTGAATCAAATGCCACCTTTGAAGATTTTATGTTCCCTGTTGTCTGCGTACAGTATGGTTTTTTTTTTTCCAGCTTATTGAAACATTCACTGCTCATTTACCCTTCCAACACCGCCTTCCTAGATGGCTGAAAGGTGATGTTTGGAATGATATGATGACCAGTGACAAGCTGGTTCACTTGGGCGGGCTGACCCAAGCTGTTCCTATCTCCGAGGTGCTGCAGTGGACTGGTGTTGCATCCAGGGGGAGGGGGGCCACTTGCCCTCCCTCCCTACTTGCATCCGATGCTCCTGCCTAGGTTTTGCAGAGACGTACACCAGGACCCAGGGAGCATCAGTGGGCGGCTCAGGTTGGGTGAGGGGGCATGGACACGCGTGGGCCTGTGCAGTAAAATCACACATTGCTGGTGGCTGGCTCCTGCCTCACGCTCTGCACACAGAAATTGCTGTTATCTGCACCACAGGCGCAGACGCTGCCAGCCCGGCAGGCATTTCAATGGAAATCACTGATAGGGGAACATTCAACAAAAAGGCTTAATTAAATTGCTGAAAGAAAAGAGAAATCTAGCAGATGCATGGTGGAAATATGCAAAAGGCCTCCCATCTGAAGAGGCAAAGGCTCTTGTTGTTTGAAGATACCATTCTCTCTAGCCAGACAGATGATTTGCTCATACAACTGCAGCCAGATTGTGCTGCCTTTTATGTGTGTGTGCAGTTAGCCTTTGGCCCTCATTCACACCCCTGTTAAAAGCCAGCGGCTAAGTGGAAATACATGGCATTTGGATATGGACTGCAGATCAGCCTGCTTGGATGAGACAAAAGTAAATTCCTTTCCAGTTCTATCACACGACATCCCTGTCCACTTTCTGACCAGGAAGGGCATGACATTTTCAGAGTCAGATAAGGACCTAAGAACACCCATTTTAGAATACTGTATTACCAGTATTAGTTGTTGAAAATGATCTGGTTTTAAGAAGTAAGTTTTTGAAATCATTAGCACTGTTTAAATTGCACAACGTGCAATGAGATAGAGGTTCAGGGTTGAGTTAATGGTCAATTTCACTTTCGTGTATCATCTCCAGCCCTTACCATTTTGTAGTGGATTATGCTACTGCAGGTCAGGAGAGTCAAAATGAATCTGTGCTCAGGAAGTGAAACTTGTGTACAGCAGGTAATTTAGGGGAGAAAAAATGTTTTTGAAAGTGAAGATCGAGGTCAATTCGTCAGCCCTTCCACTCCCAGCCTGTGAGCTGACTGCACTCGATGGCGCAGATTACATTGTGCAGACTGCAAAAATAGGGTTTACAACACTTTTTTTATGAATCCCTTATATTACAACTTAGTGGCTGTTTGAGCACGAGACTTTAATGTGCTACAGGTTAGTATCTGCACATTGTGGTTTGTTATTTGTAAAATAACACTAAAAAAAATCCTCTCACATTCACCTTTTCTTTTCAGTACAATCTTTGCAGACTAGAATTCAGTTCCTGGGCTCCCAGATTACTGTCAAATACTGCATAGAGAAGACAATACAGCCCAAATAAAAAAAAGCAGATCTTTCTACGCTATTTGTTACAGGTCAGGTGTAATGGTTTACACTCAAGCACTCAAAAAACACTCAAGATGTGTGCATTTCTTTTGCTTAGGGGTAAGTGTCCTCAAAATAGCTTCTTCATAAGTTTTTTAAAAAGGTTGCTTCATTATGTTGCTTCTCCGTTTCCTCAGTATTCAAAAACACTTCAGTGCCGTGTGCATTTTTTTTTGCTTAAGTATAGTGTCCTCAAAATAGCAGCTGCTTTTTTTAAAATGCTTAAACGTGTTTTTGTGCATGAGTGGAACATATCATCCCGCCCTGTTCTGGTGCAGGTACCTGGATATAAAGCCTAGCGTCCTGCTAGCCAGGAGAAGAGAGAGAGAGAGAGAGGGAACGGCCCAACTCCGACAGAAGAGCTCTAGACCGTTTAATTACAGCACACTTAAATACTGCTTGGCTTTTTTCTTCTGTCTTCAAGGACTGCCCTTTTTTTTACATATATATCCCAGTGAGCGATCCCCTGCGTTCCTCCTGCCAGTCTTTCTGGAATATCTGAGCTAGTGTGGCAGAGAGCACTTGGTACAGCACAGTAAATCACAGGGATGTCCTCCAGAGGGCCCAGGTTACAAGCAAACATCTCTGCCCTCCTCTGAGTCTATCCCAGTGGCTGTGTGTGACTGGAAGCCAGCTGGGAGTGAGCCCTCGCTGCTGTCAGAGTTTTAGTTATTCTCTGAAATATTGCTCATTTGTCAGACGGGTGACGACGGCTTTTTTTTTTTCCCTGGTGGAAAGAGAGGGAGGGGAGGCGAGGTAGCTGAAGATACTTCGCTGACCAAGTAGCTGAGCCGACTCCATTTAGAGTTTCTTTTTTCCCCCTTCTTCCTTGTCTCGGTTGAGCCAAAAAGTCTTCTCTCTGCCACCATGGAGATGGAACGACTGGGGAATCCTGGGCCCAAGGCGGCCCCGAAGTCCAACAAGCTGCTAAAGGCAATGCTGGCCGTCTTCGTGTGCCTGTCTCTGGTCCTGCTGGCTGTGATCATCCTCGGTAAGTTTCCCAAGGCTTCTCAATGGCACACGGATATTTGTTTGTCATTACTGCCATTTCCATGTGCCTGTGTGTGTTTAAACCGACAACATGCATTCGTGGGTACTGCAATTATACCTTTGCCCAAAGAGTTAAAATTCCAAACATATGAGCATGCCCAGTGTCTAGTATACAAACTTAATAAAATGTAACATTGAGTGTCGTGGAGTGCCATCTGCTTGGGTTTGCAGCCTGGATTGAAATGTTTTTTTTTTGTAATTCAGACTAGGGTATTGTATCTCAGTTATTCGTCTCTTATTCTGCAGAAAACAGGCTCAAGACAAGTTCATTAAGTACCTGCAGGTGAAAGGCACATTTTGCGTTATAGTTCTGAAATCACATCTCTATAGTTCTGTTGCACTGATTGACAATGACACAGATGTGGGGTGAAAGGGAAATGAATAATATTTTTTGCTCTGCAAAGTCTAAATGATGAATGTGGAGGAGTCCTTTGATTAAAGGTGCGTGCCCACTCAAAAGAAGGTAGACGCATCCATAAGAACAGGATCAGGAAGGCAGTCAGAAGTAATATGACGTCTCCAGCTTGCGTTAACGAGTCCAGGCAATAACACTAATCACATGTTACCTGAATCTCTCTATCGCAGAACCACTGCCAGAGAAAAAAGCATAAAAGTAAGCAAGCAAACATTTTATTATGCAGCTATGGAAACGGGCGTATGTATATATTCATTTCCATTCAATTTTGTTGTTTGAAAACAGAAGGCTGCAGCGTGTTGGTTTTCAGCTGGTGAAAATTCGAGCTGCGTTCTGCCTGGCCTCGCTGGCGAGCTGAGATCCAGTGCTGCACTGCTCTTTATGTTGATGTGAAAAGTATTTTTAAACAGCAGTTGTGCGTCTGTGACAACGTGTGGGGCTCATGCCCTGCAGCTACTGTACTAAACACAGCAAATCAACAGCACAGAAACCTCCAAAAAAATCTGTAATTACATACATTGCTGAGTGGCTTAATTTGCAAAACATAAGGTGACAAGCCTGCTTTATGGTGCCAGCACAGCAACTCTGAGTTTGTTAATGTGGTCTGTGCACAGCGGGTCTCAGCAGCTGCTTCAGCAGGTTGGTGACATTTAAACTTCGACAACTGTGAGTTCCATGAGATCCTCTGGAAGGAGTGACCTTAGTGTAGGCCAAGAGTACAAGATCTCTGGAATGGTGAGAGTCACAGCTCGCTTGGCAGAGAGGGTCCTCAAGGCTGACCAGTCAACCTCCGATTTAAGTAATTTAGTGGAGAAGTGCCTTACAAACAGGACATCTACTGAGTCTTTCCACAGGCTGCCTTGGCCCATTGGAAGGGTACATGGGCCACTCTACCGAGAGCAGAAATAGCAGGCATGGGGAAAATGTGCTATCTGGTACTGCGGTCTTGTGTGTCCTGCTGGGCTTAATACGGGAGACTAGTACTTCTAACACAGGCGTCGGGATGCTCAGGGGAATGTAAATTCCATTTAGTTGAAGGAGTCTCATGTTAATATGTTAATAAATCTTGATTTGCAATGTCAGTGATGTTATGATCTCTAGATAGGATTTAGTTATATGATTACATGAGCTAAAATCAAATTACAGGGGGGTTAATAAAGCACACTCTGGATCTGGTCTTGAGGAGAAAAACAGAAAATTGTAGAATATGGGTCTTCAAAATGCTCTGTTGCGAGAAGACGGAAGCCTCTTTTCATTTTTTTACTCTTTTTGCTCTGTGAAGTGTTCAGGAATGATCATTGTAACCTTCTGAACGTCAGCAGTACATTGTTTTCTTTCTCTAGCGTCTCGAGGCTCAATAAACCTTCAATCTGAAGAGTACTGCTCGACACTGGAGTGCATTGAAGCTGGTATGGACTTTCCCTTTCTTCCTCTGTCACAAAGTTTGTCTGATTTCACCAGCAGCACTTGGTCCGAAAAATAGTACTCCTTAAGCCTTCTTTCTTTTCCCATGAACTGTGGTCGTTTCCTTCAAGCGTAGAGCCGGTTATTTATTTCTTATGCAAGAAAGAATGAACTGAAGGTTCGCATTGCACTTGAGTGCTGTGCAGACTGTTCAGTCAGAGTCAAGGTGGTTACTCTTCCGCATGGCTGAAGTAAAGAGAGCTGGGCTCAGATCCTGTTGCAGGCCTTTGTTTTCGTTGTTAGTCTAAGTTCCTGAAAAAAGATGGAGGCTGTCAAAACCATTTCCCCTGTATGCTTTCTCATCTTGATACAATGCCAGTTCCAGTCTGTAGGGAACTGTTCGAAGGTCATTAAGTTAAGGACTTTTAAGATTTAAAGCATGGCATTTCACTTAAAAGAATAAGATAACTTGTAAAGATTTAAAAAGATCCAAAAAGGTATTTTTTTTAACTTGTAGAGCAGGGCTACCTAGGTCCAGGCCAAGAGATTTTGTAGTACGTCAGGGTGGTTACATGAGCTCAGTTCAGGCTTCACTGGGCTAACTTACTCTCCAGCACCGAAGCTGCTGCTGATTTACGGAGCCGCCACTCCTGCGGGTTTGTTTCCACTCGGGAGTGGGTGTGGCCGTGACTGCGCTACAAGCTGATCTGCAGTTTTTGGCCCGGTGTGGAATGGGTTGCTCATCACTGACATCTGCTTCTGCTGTTCCAGCGGGCTCCATTATCAGCAAGATGGACACCTCAGTCCCACCCTGTGCTGACTTCTACCAGTATGCCTGCGGTGGGTGGCTGCACGACAACACTATCCCAGAGGACTCCTCCAGCTACGGGATTTACCCCTGGCTCAGGCAGAACGTCGACATCAAGCTGAAAGGTGAGACAGGTCCCAGCTCAAGCTCACTGCCTCTGCTGTCTCTTCCACACGGCTGCTCTCTTGTGCGCACAGCGTAAGGGCGACCTCTGGGGACAGCTGTGCAAGTGGCGCTGGTGGACCAGTAAGGTGTGGCCTTCCCTCTGGGCCTGTTTTTCTGGACCCACGCCTCAGTAATGGTGACAGGGGACAGTATGCTATAGGAGGTGCCATCCTTTAGATGCGACTTTCAGCTGAGGTCCTGACTACTTGGTCATTTAAGACCAAGTCTTTAATGTCTTTACAGAGCTATTGTGCAGTTTGTAAGAGCAGGGAGGCTAACTGTGGTATCCCCGCCCCTGTCCACTCGGGGCTCATACAATCTGGTCTAACTAAAGTGCCCAGCCTGATCTGCTGTCTAGTGGAGACCCACTTTAGCGTGGATGAAGTGAATCTTGTACAGTATGTAAAGTACGTTGAGTTAACCAACACTTCATGAATGCAGGGTAATCATATTTTTTTAATGGGTTTGGCTTAAACTGTGAGACCTCCCCATTTGACACAGGCGCCAGTGCATTTCGTGCTCCCTGTAGCCGAGCTTCAGGCCCAGTCAGGTACCCACCTTGCCTGCAAAGTCACACCCAGGAGTTGGTCCTGCAGCACACCTGGACAGGACTGGACCAGTCTGTAGTTTTCTGTAGAAGTTCACTAGATGAACCCCCTTGGTAGCATTAAATCCATTACATTTTACCCACCCTACTGCTTTACAAGGTTGTTCCGAGCTTCACCTTGAAGGATCCTTATAGAAGGGATAGGACAACAGGTGGGTATCTCTGGGGGAACTTGTTTTTAAAGAATGTGCTGGCTGAGTGATATCTGCCAGGTTTTCAGCAGTACTCCACTGTCTGTAGAGGATGTCAGCTGTGGCTGCCCATGTCCCCCGGAGCAGTGCTGTGACGTTTCAGAGTCTGTGCGCTCAACACAGAGAGGAACTGCAGTAGGAGGTTTCCGGCCCGGCGCTGTATAATTACACAGCGTTCATTCGCAGTGTTTCTGTTTACTCAGCTATATATAAACACAACCATTTACGGAACGGCACAGTAATGAGGAATTGTTTAAGAGACAGAGACAGGAAGACAAGTCTCAATCACGGTTAAAGAGAACCTATGCTGTTTTCGAACTGGGATGATGTCTGCTCACAGTCTGTAAGTCAGGGAACTGAATTCTAGGTCCAGGACAGAGAAATCAAACTCACACCCTTGAAACTTATGTTCTATTCTGGATCAAGTCTTTGTTTCAGCCAGCTGTGAATTATTAAAAAGACCTTCAACAGTGGACCGAATTGAGCAATTATTAGGGTCAATTAAGCCAATTACATAGCAGTGTGTTGTTTAGAGCACCAGAGCTCGGATGATTGATGCTTTCTTGTGCTGTTCTCTAGAGCTGCTGGAGAAACCCATAGACCCGAGAGAAATCGAAGCTATACGCAAAGCGAAGGTGCTGTATCGCTCTTGCATGAATGAAAGTAAGTGACCGGATTTCAACAGTGGTGCTGAATAGGATCTTTTACTGCAGCTTTCATTCATAACCTTTGCCTGATTTTACTGCTACATCTACTCATACCACTCATGCCAACTGCCAGCAAGACCGCCGCTGCCAGCACGGTGACCACCGTGTCTGCTATTGAATTTCTTTTCCTCTTCCTCCTCCTCCCCCGCCCCAGCGGCGATCGAGATGGAGGACGCCAAGCCCCTGCTGGCCCTGCTGAGGCGGTCGGAGCTGCGCTGGCCGGTCCTGGGGGGCAGCCTGGGGCCGCAGTGGCAGTGGGAGGAGAGGCGCTTCAGCCTGGCGGACACGCTGGCGCTGCTCCGGGGCCAGCACAGCAAGTCAGTGCTGCTACGCATGTACGTGGCCCCTGACGACAAGAACTCCAACCAGTACATTATAAAGGTAATGCCCTCTTTCGCTGCCGTACTCCCAGGAGACACTGGGTCCCTCTGACGGTGGTGATAAGGCAAGCATGATGCACGGTGCAGTCGTAAATAGATACTTTATTGATCCCATGAGGGAAATTGCAGAATCGTTTACTTATTAACGTAATTGGTCCCAGTGCCCGTCCTACTCCAGTCTTCAGCAGGCGAGGAATTGAACCCATAAATAAAATGCCTATCCAGTGTTGTTTTTCTGCGTTCACGTAAGGCCAACTTTCTGATACGCATGCTGGCGGGCAGCAGTTCCTTTGCACACCGAGACGCCGCAGTCTCGCACAGGAAACCAGAAAAGGTCAGGGTCACGGTTTGCTTGAGAAGGACAACGAGCGGTCAACCAGCGTGTGTTGTGTGCTTGTGCAGCTGGACCAGGCTTCCCTGTCCTTGTCCTCGAGGGAGGACTACATCACCAACACCACGGAGGCTGAACTGGTGAGTACTGCCTGTCTGTAGGACAGCTCCGCCTGCAGTCCCCGACGAGCCCTTGATTTCCAGGTACAGGCTTATGAGTGTGCATCTGGCACAGACGGAAACCATTTGATGCCACTTCACTTGAATAAGCCTGAAAAGAGCTTCAGCAAGACTTTTTTACCATAAATCTGTCATATCACGGGACGTTTCTGATGTCTCCTCTTGCGTCCAAGCACCATTCTGGTACAAGTTAGAGTGCTTTGTAGAATAGTATAAGTACAGTCTTCCAGCTGTTAGGGAGTGTTCTATTCCATTGGAATAGGGGTGAGAAATCCTGCTCCTAAGGAGGTGCTGTCTGCAGGTTTTCTAGGTCTCTTCCAAGCTGCAGCAGCTGAAGAGCTGAGCCATGAGGAACCATTGTTCAGTTGGTCCTATTAAGTCAACAGTGAGCTGGTTGAGGAGTGGGACTGGAACCCTGCAGACACACAGGCTCTCTGGGAGCAGGATTACTCCTCCATGAATTAGGCCGTGCGTTACTGGTCCTGAGCACTGTGACCTCCCTGGGTCTGCTCCCTTGCCCCCACAGTACCGCCAGGCCCTGCTCAAGCTGATGACTGACGTTGCTGTCATGTTGGGAGCCAATCAGTACGATGCCGCGACACAGATGAAGGACGTCCTTGAGTTTGAGATCAAGCTGGCGGAGGTGAGTGAAAAGAACGATGCAAGAAACTGCAGTCTGAAATTCTGAATACAGCTTCACTTTGATGTTGACATGCGATTGGAATGTGACTCTCTCAAAATCTGAAACTGTAGTATCAAGTTTTATATTCTTTTGCATAGTAGAATATGGGGTTGAAAAAAACAAGAGGACGAGATCTGCCGAAGAAAAAAACCTCAATATCTATTACTGTACATCCAAAATAAAACACAACGGTTCATTCACTAAGAGAAATCTTTGCTCGGCAACGAGTCACATTTGTCTCCTGCCAACTTTCGCCTGCATACGGTATGATGAAATGAGCAAGGGTGCAGCCAGAATATGTTTGAAGGGTGTCCAGCGCATCATGAGACCAGCCCATGCAATGTGAAGTTTATCTGAGGGGCCTGCAGGGAGAGGGTACATTCTGACGGGTGGGAGTGGGGCGGCTATCTCACGCTGGAAAACAGAAATGGTCTTCGCCGATTCAAACGCAATTCACCCGTCACGTGTCCTTAACAGCTGTGGTGATGATTTTCCTTCAGATCCTAATCCCGTTTGAGAACAGAACCAGCGAGGCCATGTACAACAAGTACAGTCTCTCCCGGCTACAGAGAACAGTCCCACAGGTAATGAGCTTACAGGTGACGGATCAGAAAAAAAAGCACGTGAAAGTCTTCTGGCTTTTTTCTTAAAACCGGGAGGTGAACAAGGGTGACAAATCATTTTGCTTCCTAAGGGACACTAATACAGGCATCTTAGAGACCCCCTTTCCCCAGTACACAACACATGCCTTTCGAATCCAGTTTTTTGTGTTACTAGAGTGAGGTGTTTGAGCTGGAGGCCAGCAAGGTTGAACTTTGTTGTCTTTGTTCTCTTAGTTCAACTGGCTGGAGTATATCAAAGCAGTGGTGGACACCAGGCTGTACCCTGAACTCAGGAGCCTGACTTCATCTGAGCAAGTGATTGTGCGCGTGCCCCAGTATTTCAAAGACCTCTTCAAGCTGCTGGAGACCACAGACAAAAGGTGAGGCAAGGTGCGCCCAACTAAGGGAAACTGCTCGGTAACGTTAATAAACGTGTACACCAGTACTGCTCTAGATGTCTCCTGAAGTGCACAAAGAAAGCGTTTATAAGGAAAAGAAAACGCTTCAACTGCACCTGTAGGAAACCAAATTTTTAATTATGTCCCTGTTTCCTCTCCTGAAGATTTTCACACTTTTTACCGCTGTGCTTCCACAGTATTCAAAATGCGAAACTGGAGACCACATGTCCACACCTGGCAATTCATGTTTCAGAAATGAATGTGCTGTATTAACAGGGTGCCAGAAATGTGGTAATGGTCAGCCTCTGCTGTAGATGAATCCAAAACCCTAATCCTGATCACAGCCTGAAACGCCCCCCTCAAGTTTGTAATACTTTTTACGGCAACATAAATAACATGTTCAATGGTTTATGTACAGTTATAACAGGAATCTAAACTAAAGTGTGTCAGGCAGTAACTTTAGTTTTGCATTGGTTTTTAACTTTCTTTTGCTGCCCCACTGGGAACGTGTGTGCTGCAGTCAACCTTCCTGAGAAACGTTTATTGTGATATTTCACTGTACAGTATATTCCCATGGTCTAGTCAATTTATTTACTTTCTCCAAGGTTAGTATTTAAGGTTGAAAGCTGTGTCTAACAGTCACATTTCTTTCTATTTAGAAAGCTATAATGAAGAGGCTCACCCACACACTGGAATGGAAATAATGTTGTTTTTTTGTAAAAAAAGAATAATGCTTAAACAAAAATAAATCTGGAAAGGTCATTGTTTGCTTTCTCTCTGGCACATTGCTCATTACTAATTATAAAGAAAGAAGAGAATCGGGGGCACTCAGAGCCTTTTATACCAAAATATAGTCCACACCATCCATCTTGTTTTCAACAGACATAGCCACCATGGCAGGACTAGACACAGTTAAAGTGCTTGTTATTCCTTGACCTCCCCAGTCCCCTAATTTCGTGATTTATGAATGAAATGTTTCCTTTTCCTTTTTTATTCCTTCAGACAGAGCTATGTTAATGACTCTCCGTTAGGCGGGGACTGTACAATTCCCCCAGAGCTTTGCGTGACTTTGGTGGTATGACGTTTGAGTCGTTAGGGTCAATGTCCTTCATAATAAAATAAGAGGGATCTTGTGTGAGCAGGCAGCCCACTGTACACCCCCGCCCTAATTATGTCCAGAGCTTTTCTGTCTTGCTGGGCTCAGAGTTCTCTGGGGGGTCCCAGGAGTTGCTGCCTGCCAGCTCGTTTAACTAGCTCTGGTCCTGAGCACGTGGTGAGATCGAACAGCACTGCTGTCTGGGTGCCCAGCAGCCTGGGCCTCACTGTGTGCCAGGACAGTCTGAATCAGAGTTTTGCACTAAGTGCTAAAAAGGCATTTTGTGAGAAGCACACACATCCCTCGCTATCCCAGCACAACCAACTAGAATATTTCTGCTCGTAGGTCAAAACTTCTGAAAGTGACACCAAATTCCCATTAAAATACACAAACAGTAAAAGTCCATTCCATGTGCTTGGAACTGTCCATAAAGCAGCTGAATTTAGGAACTTTCTGATGTACAGTATTTGAATAGTTGGGCAACATAAATTGCTAAGTGTACATGTATGTCACAACAGGTAGAATTTACCAACAATTTTACGGAAAGTGTTAATGTTTGGAAGTATTATATAAGGAAAATAAAATAGTTATGGTCTCTAATGTACGCACGAACAATAAATGTCAAATAATCAAAAACATTTTTTATTGTTTTTTATATTAGTTAAGAAATCCTGTCCAAAGACAGAATATACCCATAACCATGAAAGAGCATCACATTGGTGATACTGGTACTGTACATTTGCAGGGTGCATAGTGATAATAAAACACTTCATTGTATAAAACGGTGAAATTAGTGAATTAATATTATTGTTTTACAAATTAGTCTTTCAAAATATTATTTTACCTCGTAACTGGTATATTACTCTTAGCATTTTTGTTAAGATAGTTAAGATGACAGCAGCCAAGAGAGGTGAAAAATAAAAACTGAAGAGCAAGTTATACCCTTGGAGCTAATATTCATGGCAGAAGTTCACACGTTTAAACTAAATAGGCAGGAACATGTATTACTCATTTTAACGAGTACTCGTGAGTAAAGTGCTAGTTTAACCAGGGATGAGTGTATGTTAGGCTACTCATCCGTACCAGCTATAACTGAATATGTACAGATAGATGTTGATATAACAATATTTGACATCATGCTTGTGAAAATCTACTGTATAAACTTTTTGTGCACACTTTATACTGTCAGATACATTTCAGTTGCATTAAATCCTGTGTATAAAATGCATGGGCTGCAGCCTGTGTTGGGGAATCTCTTCGTTCTGCTTCCCTGACTCCACTTTGGGTCTGAACGAGCTAAATAATACATTATGTAAGAGCTGCACCACCTTTAGCAGTGTAATGGCTCCTGCAGGTCTTGGAGCCTAACCAGCTCCCCTTGTGATTGAGCACGCCAGCCAGTACAGCTCCTTGTGTGTCCGTGCTGCCTGGTCTGGTGGCAAGGTCAATCCACTGTGCTGGATGTGGGCTGCGTGTAACAGACTCAAGCCTCTCAGCCACATCACACATCAGGGCTTGTACACAGCGCGTTTATGTTCATATGGACCGCCCTGGCTGAGTGTTATCTGCTCAGCTTCCTGACAACTCTTCTGCATTGATTATCAGCCTCAGGCCACACATGTGGCACTAGTCTAGAAATCACGACTAGCAAATGAGGGTGCGTTGTCAGAATAAAGTTTTAGTAGATATACACTTAAGGGGTGTTAATATAAACCGAGACGCTGTAGATATTCAGTAGTTATGAGGGTTAGTGTAAATCTGTCACGGTCATTAATATTTATGGCTGCATTAATAAGGTTCTACATAACTTCAATATATAGTAACAATCATTTATATTTCTTTTAAAACCCTTTGTATTATAATTTCATCTGAAATGCTACTAGACCAACAACAGGTAATGGTAATTTCTGCTCCTTCTCTTAATTTGTATGATGTTTGTCTTGGAGTTCGTCATAGTTGATAACGTGCCCACGTCAAAGTGATTCATTCTCTGACTGACGTCAATAAAGCAGTAATCTGTAAATTATTCTAAATCCCTAAATTTAAGACTGTATTTTTTTAGGACTGTTGAACCTAACATTTTTTGTTTTCTCAGTGACTTTATTGCAGGACTGCTGCACTGAATTACTGCAGTTGTCCTCTCTGTGACTTTACTGCAGGACCGTTTCACTGAATTACTTAATTTGTCTTCTCTGTGACTTTACTGCAGGACTGTTGCTAACTACATCATGTGGGCAACTGTCTACTCCAGGATAACAACCCTCAGCAGACGGTTCCTCTACAGATATCTGGATTTCGCCAGGGTAAGTATGGAAAATATGCAGCTAAGTGGCCCACCTCCTGCTCACTGAACAGGCTGGAGGAGTGGGGCACGCTACCAGTGTGTTCTTTTTTTTGAAAGGATGTTTTTGTTCAAAAAACAGTGCACAGGGAAACAGCGTCACAGTACACATCCTGCTGTGATGCTTGCAGATTCAAAATGGAATGTTAAAGATGAAAACGATGTTGCTTTATACAATGATGATGTGTTTCAGAATGTTTCTGTCCTGGTTCCCTGTTCAGGTGACCACTGGGACTACTTCTTTAACGCCACGCTGGGACAAGTGTGTGAATTATGTGGAAAGCACTCTTATATATGCCACTGGCCGAATGTTTGTGGATGAGCATTTTCAAGAAGACAAGAAACTCATGGTAACTCTTTCCCCTTTGATTCTGCCACATTAAGTATTTCCCCAAATCTCCCATTTGCTTATCATGTTGAACAGGATTACCGGGGGGAAGAACACCATACATTTACAGCGTCAGCCAACATGAGACAGAGTTCAGTAATACAGCATGAGGAATCAAAAGGGATTCTGTTTATAAGCATGTTGCAGGATAAATACTCCCATATTACAACTATTGTAACACTATATTACTATATGCCTATATATATATCAGTGGTATTATTATAGCTGTATGTTTATCACACGGACATTTTAAAAAATACTAACAGAGTAAAAATTGAAAAAGCAGACACAAAGCAGTAAATCTGTATATTCACTCTTCTTTGCTTTCTGTCATTTAAAAATTTGCAACTGGTCAGAAATGTGCAGAGAGATTTTGCACTGAAGACCCCCTAGTGGCAGAGTCTAGGATTATGGCTGCCAGCAAGCAGTCCCAGTCCCAGCCTTAGCTAGAGGGGTTGAGGAGATAAAGTGGGGGAAGAGCTCGATCAGGTCAACTGAGAGATCTACGCAACAGTGTGATTTTTGGTTAGGAGTCTGGGAGCTCCATGGTTAGGGTATTCCAGCTCCTGGTTCTCAGGATCCAAAATTCATGAGGTTATCTGTATCTCTTTAAATCATGAACAACTAAAGAATGTAGAGAAGCAACAGACTGGTTTAGCTAAAGCTCATTGTAACTTGAACAGGCATGTAAGGCCTGCTGGATTTGAGAACCCAAGCCATCAGCGCCTTGATCCTATCATCATTTGAACTTGTTAGTGTTCCAGAGATAGGAGCATACGATAGACTCAGAGGATGCATGTAATGAGCATTCTCCGCATTGAACTGTGAATTCTGTTTTTTTTTCTTTGTGATCAAGAACTTCCTGATGTTTGGGCCTAGGTAATGCTGCCCTCTTCTGGTCAGCACTGGTACTGGCAGGAATTGCCCAGAGAGACTTGGAGAGCTTGAAAACGGGCAGCTGTATTCTCCTAGACCCCGAATCACTCAGTGAGGGATCTGAATAGTGCAGACAGACAAAACCCGTGCTGCAAATATGGCCACTTGCTGCTGATACATGACTATTACAATCTTAATCGTCATCATAATTCACGTTTTCTTTCATGTTTCATTTGCAATATTCTGAAAATTCGTTCATAGAAATATGAGCTGCTGAAAACGAATAATGATACTGAAGAAAGAAAATATCATAAAATGGGATCCTTCTCTCTACAGATGGAGGAGCTGACGGAGGGGATCCGCTGGGCTTTCATTGACATGCTGGAGAAAGAGAATGACTGGATGGACAGGGAGACGAAGAATAAAGCTAAAGAAAAGGTAAGACGCTGTTTCTGGCTGCTTGCTGTCCTGAAACAGGCGCTGAACGGACTTCGTGCGGTGGCTGACCAGTGCAGCCCCTGCTCCCGGTGGTCTGACTGATTAAATACAAATGAAACTTGGAAAAAAGAAGAAGCAACTAAAAAAAAACCAAGTATCATATTCCTGGTACTGAGTGAATGTGAGAGATTATCTTGCAGGTCTTCACTGGTTTCAAATACTTTAAAATGAGGCTTCTAGTGTGGTTTAAAATTGGTTACTGGCAGAAACTTGGTCTCTGTTGGACAGGCTTTGCAAGAAAGCAAGAACTCTGTGACTGCAATGCTCTAATTATGGTACTAATTAGAAACCAAAACATGAAACGTGTTTGAGCCACTTATTAAGATAAAGGGAAAACTAGGTGACCCCGTTGCCCTCTGGGAAATTGGTGTGACATGTGTGAGATAAGAAAGCTGTTCCTAATCTTTACATGAAGCATTCGTTCATGGCTCCTGGTGCCAGATTATTCTCCGCCCTTGCGTTCAAGAGGGATTTCTTTCTTTGCTTGACTTTTCTCTGAATGATCGTATTTTCCCATCCTTTCTCAACAGGCTTATGCAGTCCTGGCAAAAGTCGGCTACCCGGATTTCATCATGAACAACACCTACATCAACGAAGACCTCAAGATGGTGTGTGTGTGTGTGTGGTTGCGAATGTTGAGTGAGCAACTCTGAATGTTTGAAAAAACGACGTGCTCTGGGCTGGGTATCTGCTGTAAACGGGTTTCGAGGGCTGATGTGTTTTCCCTCTTGCAGCTGGAATTTTCCGAGAAAGACTACTTTGGGAACGTGCTGCAGACTCTTCAGTACATAGCGCAGTCCGACATTGGCTGGCTGCGCAAGAGCGTTCCCCGAACACAGTGAGTGCGGAACGGAATGAGTTTATTGACTCTGGGCAGTGGGGGAGCTCTGATTCTGCCGTTAGCCACTTCATCTCCGCTGGGATCCAGGCTATTGAGCTGGAACGTTTGTGCGTTTTCATTTACACACGTGGGAAAAAATAGGTTTCCCCTCTTGTGGAACATGCATGTATTTTTCAGTGCATGCTGCCCAGAGGTACTTTGGTCCCGACTGCCTGGCACAAGCCAGCGGTGCCAACTTTAAGGGGCAGATTTTTTTTAATTGCCAGAGAGGGAGGATGACTGCCGATGGAGCTGACACTCCAAAAAGTTTCAACCTTCAGAAGTTAACGAAAGCTTTGAATGTGACCTCACCCAAACCACCTTTTTGATAACCACCCAAGGTGAAGTAAGGGCGAGATAAATTGATGCATCAAATGATTACCCTGAGAAACGTCAACTGTACTGAATAAACAGTGAAGGCTTCCAGAATGAATTTAAAAGGATGATTTACTATTCAGTATGGCATTTCAACATCTGTAGTCATCCTGTTAATCGGGGAAGCAGACAAAGGAGTTTGATTTCTCATTGTTTCTGCCATAACAAAAGCTAGACAATGCCAAGAGCTATAAGGTCAAAGTTATTCCAGGAAGAGAAAATTGATTTTTTTTTATTTTATTGGACTTTCGAATGAGCTGTTACTAACTCATCTTCCAATACGATTGATAAAATGCAAATAAAAAGCAGCCAGATTAAACTGCCAACAAGTCTGAATCCTAGCACATGACCCATAGATGCTAAAAGCCATTTACCTTCTGTTACATGATCTACAGGAAATTCTTTCACCACAGCCTCCTTTCATGCAAAAGCAGTGCAAAATGACAAAAGTAAAATGTAGGTGGTCACAGCTCAGAGACTCTTTACAGATGTTAATATATTCTAAGGCTACATAAGATGCAGACACGTTAAGGAATAAATTCCTTTTTTTTTTCCTTCACAGATGGTTCACTAATCCTACTACTGTGAATGCCTTCTACAGCTCTACCACTAATCAGATTCGTAAGGGCTTTTGATATTTTTATATGCCGTGTTAAAAAAAGCTTCAGAAAACACAAGCATGCTACTATTCATTATGTTACAGCTTCGGTTGTTCAAAACCTGTCTGACTGGCAACCATGAAACAAGCCTTTGAATTCACCCTAGACAAATCTCACTGCCTGCTGAGTTTCAGCAGCAGCTCTTCCAGTATGAAAACTACTCTTCAAGATAGATGTTAATTAAAATCTGTGGGCCTCCTGAATTTTTCTCACCTAAGATTTGTCTGAAAACCTCACTGTATCAATTGGCTCTTGTGTTCTCCTGAGTGAAAGCAAGATTTGTATTTAAAGTGTCTTTTCCAGAAGTAGCTCAAACTGGTCTCTTACGGATGGAATCCACACTGCTATCTGGCACGGGTGAAAGCAGTCACTCGCTTATAGCTGTAACCACAAAAAAAAGATATTCATGACTCAAGTCAGGTGTGATACATGCCGACTCATAAAGATCCATAATCAAGGAAGCATGATTCTGTACCATAACATCGCAAAAACAAACCAAAATGGTAGTGTATTACAAGCAAATTATTTAGCTACTTACAGTATATATACACACACTCAACAGATTTATTCAAAGACTTTTTAAGATATTCACTTCACTGTGTGTAAGATTTAATCTGTGCAGCTGAAACTGACAAAATACATGTATCAATGGCAAACCAATAGTTTTCAATAAGCTGTACCCACACTGGATAGTACTGACGGAATATACAAGAGCTGGATAAATAATCACGCAATAGCAAACCTTGTTACCTAATTGGCATAATACTCCTCTGTGCATCTTGTAGCAGGGCCACACTGATCACTGCAGCACTGTGGGATACGTGTCGCCTGGGGAGCTCTTGCTGGCTCCTGGACATCTGTTACCTCTCTTTATTAAAATGGGATTAATGCATCTTCCTGTTATTTGGCTGTTTGGTGCAGAGTGGTTGTATGGTAATAAACACCATTGTTGGTTTTGCAGGCTTCCCAGCTGGAGAGCTGCAGAAGCCTTTCTTCTGGGGTTTGAAGTATCCTCGGTAAGACATCCTTTACTGGATGAACGCCATTACCTGGCATATTGACTGCATGTAGCCCCATGAGGATTTATGTCACGAACTGCGAGCATTAAGAACTGTGTAAGCTGCAATATGATGCAACTCATTACAGGGGATAATGTGCATGACATTTAATCGTTTTTCATCTACTGTACTGTTAGGCTCCTTTCTGTCGGTGCATCGTAGTAATTTGAATTCACTGCCTATCTGAACTCTCTGCTTGATGAAGAGATCATTATTGGCACCAGAGATCCCAAAATATAAAGACAGATTGAAATGTACATATACTGTATATACACACACAATCATAGTTTGGCATGACCTGTAAATAAACTACAGTAGGTGTTTTTTTGGCAGTTTAAAGACATTTTGCTGTTTTTATTACAACTCCTTTTATGTTACACATTGAACATTGGACTGGGCACTGGGGTGGTGTTCCAAGGCTCCATTTCATCCTCCAGTGCTGTCATCTGCATTCACAGGTCCCTCAGCTACGGTGCTATTGGAGTCATCGTTGGGCACGAGCTCACACATGGATTTGATAATAATGGTAAGGGTCCTCAAATTTCAGATGTCAAGAAAATGATTCAGTTCTTAACCAATGTATTTTGTTGCCTGGGTCTGCTCCCTGCATACCTGTTCAGAAACGTGTGCCGAGCAAAGCTCACAAACTAAGGCACCTCCCTCTTGATGGGCCCTTAATTATCCAGTAAATAGTTTTAAATTTAAGAAAATCTTCAATCCATACAGAATTCTTGTAAAGTACCAACTGCAAATAAAATGTATACACAATGCACATATTGCGGTACTGTACACAGCACATGCTAATTTCTTTAGCTTCCCTAAGAAATTCCCACTGAATGTGTTTCCATAAATCGGGGATTATGTGAATATACATCATAGAAAACAATTAACACTTGCTTTTGTCGTCTTGTACTGCTATTGCTAGGGCGCAAGTATGATAAAGATGGGAATTTGGATCAGTGGTGGACTGACGCATCTACTGCCAATTTCAACAAGAAGACGCAGTGCATGGTGGAGCAGTACAATGATTACTACTGGAAGGAAGCTGGCATGAATGTGCGTACTGAGCTTCTTAATTAAAGTCTGCCCCGAACGCGCACGCGGCTCTGTGGTGTCCTCGTCGGGACACTGCCGCCGCGTCACTTTTCCAGTCACAGTTCTGTCTCGTCACCTGAGTGTGTTCCTGGCAGCACGGCGCTTTACACAGGGGGAGACATGAAATACTCCAGGGGCTCCCTGGGGCTCATTTTTCCCCTTATGTGTGTGGTGGTCTGGCTGTTTTTCAGTATAGACTAGAAATAGCGTGGATAAGACCACAGGGCGCCGAGTCCTGTGTGTTACAATGCATGTGTAATAGTGGACATCACACTGTACATGTGTTATTTTCCAGGGTACTGGACTGAGTGTTATTTTTAGTTCCCCATGAAGCCGCTGGATGTAGAAAGAATTACACATACAGCAGACTGTTCCTTTTAAGTCCCTTGTGCCTGGAGGGAACAAACTTTACAATAGATTTCAACAGCTGATGAAGTAGAAGGTCCCAGTAGATCACAGAGTAAACTCCACAACTGCAGACTCACTCCAAGTGCAAATATTAATATGGGGAACTGAATTTATCAGACTAAGATTGATGAAACTACAAACATGAGCATGATTCTACCCTAAGTGCTGCAAAATTATACTCATTATACTCCATTTCATTCCCAAACAGCTTTTAACAAGTTTTTAATGACAAAATGTACATTCTTTAAAAAAAAAAATATTGAAGAAGATAGCGTTACCTGGTGCTGTATTTCTGTATTTCTGGTGCTGTATTTCTCCCTTTTTATACAGGATTCCCTGTGCTGCACACCATGATGGAGACTTTTGAATAGCATGTTGTTGTTTTTTCAGGTGAGAGGCAAAAGAACTCTGGCAGAGAACATAGCAGACAACGGGGGAATTCGGCAAGCCTTCAGGGTACTGGATTGAGCTAAACTATAAATCTGCCCACGATGAATAAAGTCACACATGCATCAGGCCTGCAGTGACCACACCTAGAACCCCAACTGACAGAGTTTTGTCCTGAACCATGATTAATGGTAATATTGGCATCGCTGCAGAAGAAAAGATCACAGGTTTTGCTTTTTTTTTTTAAAAATTATTGCAGAAAGAATACAAACTGGAAACCCTTTACAGTTAAGAGGTCCCTGCTTTAGTTTTCAATCATTTAGTAGATGGGATCCATTATCATCTTCTTAACGCATAAACCTTGATCAAACATCCAGTAGAGAACATGGGTGATGATGCGCGATGATCCTCGTGAAAGACAGACACTGTCCCATGTCAGGACTGTCAGTGCATGTCTAGAATCTGGAGCTCCAGCAGAATTCATCATGTGCTCCCGCCCCGGCAGCACGCTTTGCAGTGTGGTTGTGTTTCTGTCTTGCAGGCCTACAGGAAGTGGGTCAACGAAGAGAGATCTGGTAAGGAGGAGCCCCTGCTGCCTGGCGTGGGCCTTACAAACGACCAGCTCTTCTTCCTCAGCTATGCACACGTAAGTTCAGACGTCTTCCTCAGCTGGCCGGTGTGACTGCACCCCTCTCCCAAAGGCAAGGCGGTGACCGGAGGGTGTCTGGGGGTTTGTGTCTTCCAGGTCCGCTGCAACGCCTACAGGCGCGAGGCAGCCAGAGACCAGATCCAGAGTGGTGCTCACAGCCCTCCAAAGTACAGGTAAGGAGCCCAGATTCCCCAGTGGCTGCTGTGCGGCGCGTGGGAAACTGCGCGAAATGGAGAAGGCCTTCTGACCGCACTGCACTCTCCCAGCTCCGAGCGTCAGGGATTTTTCGTCTGACAGTTTCTCGAAAGGTCACCCAGACTCTAGGAGGTCCCCCTCTTGTCTCGCATGCCAGTCAACCAACTCTGGGTTCAGCTGTGCTTCTACTGTGACGTTCAATGTGATTTATCTCTACGCAATTCTCAGAGGCTTGGCTTGACTCATTTCCAGTTAAAACCGACACTTGAACTACTGTTGCTTTAATTTCACAATTTATTGTATTTTTGTCTGACTCGATTGTTGACTCTTCGACTGGTGCCAGTACTTTACTGATCTTAATCCATTTTGTTTGTTTTGTTTCCTTCTTTAAGAGTAATTGGGGCGATGAGTAACTATGAGGAGTTCAGGAAAGCCTTCAACTGCCCAGAAACTTCTTTGATGAACAGGGGCTCACGGTCCTGTCGAGTCTGGTAGCATGCTGACTTCGCCAGCCAGCGACCACCAAAGCAACTCGGACAACTACCTTAGAATTTCACTCAGCAACGAAGTGAACTTCCCGAGCAAATGTCTTGATTTTAAAATCTTGGTTATGACCTTAGGCACTTGTGTGCGTAACTAATCTAAAAGAACAGGTCCATAAACACTGTAGTGTAGTTTAGTGTTTTTTTCTATGGGGTGTTGTACATTTTATCGTGGTTTCTGATGGCATGTCTTTATTTTTATTATTTTTGTATGCAATGTCCAAATTGTGTTGCTGCCATTGATAACAGATTTTTTTTGCTGCAATAATGTGATACAGGTCCTTCATTTGTTGCATTGAAAATCTCTTTGTAAATATATCCACCTGGTACAACTTACGGCTGGAAATACAAACTATAAATAAATCCATTGAACAGTGGCACAGAAAAACCTTCCTTTAATGTTTTCCAAAGAAACATCTAGAAAATAATGTTATGACCTGCTGTACACTTTCACAAAACAATTCTTACTGCAAGACAGCTGGGACTTCCAAGCCAATGATGGGATGTGTAAAAATAAATTGTGTAGGTGTACCCTGCATGTTCAGTGGAAGTGTCAGGTCTGACCTGTGTGATCACACCTACATGCTGTTAAAAGCATGTGAGATTGCCTAGTCCTTGTTCACAGGTGTGAAATGACTCAAGACTCACTGTCCCCAGGAATGTAAAGCTCTTCCATTTCCAGGGGGTCTGAGTTTTGGAGATTAGTGAAGATGATTCTTTTCCAAACACACAAGAAGTCCTTTCCGTCCATGGTCTGACGAGGCCTGCTTTGCACAATTTCAGACCAAGAATACTTTCCTTTCTTTGCAGATACTTTGCAATTCAATGTAAAACATCCAGTCTCAAAAAGCGTTTCAACTTTTGCCTGCAGATTGATCATGTAAATGCCGTTTTCGAATCCCTCTGCATTGGTTTGTAACGACCAACTTTCGTGTAACTGTGATTTATTACAAGTTAACAAAGCAGACAGCTGGTCTATATCTGGTTCCTGTGTTGATCTTGCTCATGTTTCTTCCATTGATCACGGAGTTCATAAAATGCCAACCCCAGTGAAGTGGAAGTTCACATACAGTACCTGAAAAACTTGTCAAATAAAAACCTTAAATTAGCTTTCGTAGAATTCATCAAAATAAAAATCATGGTGGAGACTAAAAACCAGAAGAATCCATTCTTCATTCTGCAAAGAAACAGAGAAAGGGCCACCGTAAACTTTTAAGGAGACTTCCAAGTGTAGCAAATGCTTTCATTTCCCGCTTCTTCAGGAACAAACACCCTTATTTTTTGTGAATTGAACATCCTTTTGTAGGGCCAAGATGAAGTTGAGCTTACAGCTTCTCCTTCACCAGAATTTCAGCTGCAGTGTTTCAGAATGGACAGTAGAGGGCAGTACATGAAGGAATAAACACCAATGCATAGCCCAGATTCATTATCATAAGGCTAACAAATGTTACCTGGCATAGTCACTGGTCTCCTTTCACACAACAGGAGGGAGGAAAAGTATGTTTATAGTTATGGGTACACCAAAACCTCCTCCAGTGAGGATTTGACCCACATTGTTGTACAGAAAAAAAAAATCAATGGAAACAAATCTGCCCAACATGAAAATTTGATGTATGGTCTCCTGTCATCTGCCAACCAAAATAATATTTACTATTTGTAAAAGTGCTCTAAAATCTTCTAGTAATGACGCCAACACTCCCACACAAGTCCTCTCTCTGTCTCCTGCGCACTGTTTTTTAAGTTTTTGAGCTTCTTGTCGGTCAACACCCTTCCAAACCCACTAGGCATCAATTCGCAAGGCCCCCCGCTAGTGATAGTGGTCCTGTAGAGGAGAGAACTCCAGCGTAAGATTATGGCATCAGTGGGAAAAAGTGAAGATTCTGGATAAGCTGGAGGTCCACAGCTTTCACCCTTCAAAGGTCCATGTTTAATGGTTATTTCCCACGTGTAACCGTGTCTTTATTGTAGTACAATATGATTATATACACAGCTGAGTTCGGGTAGGGCCACGCCTTTGTGTGTAACTCTACAGGTATCTGGGCTGCACGGGTTTGTCCACAGCTGTGATCGCAGACCCTCTTTACCACACAAGGGGTGTCATGTTCCTCCGACACTGGTTTGCCAAACACTCGCATTTGTAGGAGCACAACCCCTCCGCCCTGCACAGGCGTCGGCAGAAATTCCACTGATCTAAACTAAGCAACGCCGAATAGTTATGTTTATCTTGGTCACGTGACAGACGAAGAATCAAAATCTTCATCCATTCTCAGAAAGCACAAGTCTGCTTTCATCTATCCAGCCAATTTCTCATAGTGTCTTCCACTTCCAGGTCAGGGTCACAGATGAGCCAGGGCCTAAAGTCCACTTTAACTTCACTGTAAATAAAAGTTTGATCATTTTCACTCAGGAACAATATTATTATTACATATGAGTATTTATATTTATATATCATCTAAACAGCTAATGATGCTCCTTTGTTAGTTTTTCTAACAAAGTAGTCCCATACAAGATATATATTTGGAAGGCTTGTAACTGATTTACGTCCTGCCATCTCACCAGTTTAAAGAAAAATTCACTTGTTTGACGCAGAGCACAAAGACTACATGTTTTTGTTTCATTAAATTCTTTTCCTATACAAATAAGGGTCTTGCAGAACTGCCCCACTTTCTCTCATCCTTGTGTAAACAGGAACTACTCTCCACAATAGAATTACTTTCATTATAAGAGAGAGCCCTTTCATATACGGAGATGAAAGAAAACTCCAGTAGGCTTAAAAAGCTTACAATAAGTAGCATTTGCAGTCCAATCCATTATCATTAGAAATCACTTGCTTTTCAAATTCAAGGCATTTGATTTGATTGTATTATTTCTTTTGTAGCTCTCGCATTTATACTGCTCAGGCCACCACAATAAAAAATAAAGCACTAAACAGAAACTTCCAAGATTAAAATAAAGCTATTAAGATATAATCTAATAAAATATTTTATAATATGTTTCGAGAGCACTGAAAACAATGTCACATGATAGAGAATGAAACTAGAAAAAAAAAGTCAGAAATCTTTCCTCAGTTTCCTCTGTTCTGTCAGTTTAGAGGACAGGTCACTGAACAGCACACACCTCCTAAACGCAACTGATTAATGTTAGAAGACCTTAACCCTTAATGCTCAGAGCAACAAAAAAACACATTTATAAAATCTTTTTGAAAAAACACAGTTATAATTAGCCATATACTGCAGCACAAGTAGGGTGAAAGACGGAGACATTGCTTTTATGATGGCTGTCAAGCGACTGAGAAGCTGGTCACTTATCGGAGACCCGAGGGATGGTCACAGTGCTGACAACAGTATATTCCAAAGCCACAAAAGCACTGTGTGCACTAATTCATCGTGAGAAGAGAAGAAAGGTCAGGAGCCGGACTCGAGGAACAGGAACGTGCTGAGCCCTGGCCACACGGCGTTTAGGATCATTTTCCACATCCATTTTGTGAGTTTCAGGAAGCTCATCTGTCCCCCTTTCCGTTAAATGGCGATTTAGTCCTTTTAAAAGCTCTCAGCTACATTAACTTCCATCCGAAATAAAACATTTATTGAGGCTGGCCAGGGTGAGTGATGACAGGTGATAAAATTGCACCGCGCAGGTTACTCATTCTGAGCATAAACTGTGCGGTGATGTATTTAAAAAGAGCAGCGTTGGTGGTGATGTATTTAAAAAGAGCAGCGTTAATGCACAAGAGATTAGAAGTGTATTGACATTCACAAAAAAGGTCATCAGCCTGCAGTTTAAATCTGTTTGTGCTTCATTGTCTGAAGGCTTGTTAAAGACCAAACAGAGCATTATGGCGAATGCACTATGAAACAGTAGTTGGGATTAACCGAGTGCCAATTAATTTTCATTTTCCTGCTTAATGTAACACCAGGTCATAATGAAGTACTTTAATATTTACCAATCAGCACATCCATTATCAAACATTATAAACTATTACCTTGTCTTATATCTCCACCACACTGCTCTTTATTATCATGCAGTCTATGACTGTGTATTCATACTGACTCTTCTCTATGTATTTGTGTCCATCAGACGGACTGTCAGACAGATTAGTTGAAAATCTGCTTGCTCACATCTTCACACTGGCTTTGCATTCATCAAATCCATGGTCTGCCAGCACTCTCCCTCATACAAGATACTCAATTTATATTTCTGATATCCATGGATCAGAATGAACTCATTACCCATCCAATTCACAGAAAAATGCCTCCGTCGCTGCTGGTCAGTTTTAGATAACTGCTTTCAAATACGATGCTGCTCTTTTTTTGACACAGAGTATCCTTATTTGATTTGATGCAGAAGTGGTGAACAATCATTGTGATTAAAGGCACTAAAAAAATCTCATTTGTATTGGTATTGAACACAGCAGGCGCAGGAAAGACGATGCATTACTTGGAATCCTGGTGGTTTCCTACTGTGAAAGATCAATATTTGTATAGTGCTTCAGGTTCCTGCACGTAAGGGAGCAGACAAGCTCTAGTGAGATCCAGGAGCCTCAGTGAGCAGCTGCCCTTTCATTCTTCTCTGATGGTGTCCCAAATATCAGGATTCTTTCAAAAACACTTTTGTTAAAATACACTGTAACTCAGTCCTGACCAGACTCTGTGATGGAGAGAGGGACCACAGACCTTGCACTCACACATTTGCTCATGTTTGGATTTTTGTATTATTCTTTTATCTGTTGTTAATACTTGACAATAATGAATGTCGATAATAATAAAAACTGAAAAACACTGAAGACAAATCGGAGAAAACACAAAACCTTTAAACAACACATTCAGGGCTGTGGGTCGAATGTGCAGTTCTCTTGTTGATATGTATTGTGGCACACACATGTAAAGCTGGAGTCAACATTAAATACTTCTCGTCATCCAAAACCTACACTGGCCTGAGATGCACTCTCACTTCAATACCATTTTTACCAGCTGTACCTGCTGAATGAAAATTTTCCATAAAGAAGCTTTTGCAATGGTTGTGATTGTTTCGGACTCGGACTCGGAACATTTTCAAATCTGATTTCTGGATGTGTTCAGAGACAGATGGCAGGATTGCTCTGCGAAAGCCCCAGCTAGGGTTAGGGTTGGCATTTCCCACTCCTTAGACATTTTTTATGCTGAGTGCTGGATTTTGGGTCCCAGTGGAAAAGTAGAATGAGTGATCATTTGTTCCTATCTGAAACGTTTTTTCGGAGACTTTTGTTTCCGATCAGTGTTGGAGTTTGGGTCTTAAGCGAACCTTAGGACTACAGGTAATTTGCTTTATCTGAAACTTTTTCTCTGGAGACTTTTGGCAACTTATATTGTGTATCGCACCGTTCCCTACTTAAAATCCCAAACTGACAGAGACGAATAGTGTTCTAGAACAAGAATACCTGTTGTACTGGGTTAAATATCTTAATTTTGTCATTTAACGTGCAAATACAGTTCACAACTAGGAGCTCAGTGCGAAGAGCACCCTAACTGAAGAAACTGCTTTCTGTTGTATCGTATGGCGTTTCCATTGCCATTGTATCTGTTGTTCTTTAAAGGGGGGGTTGTGCTTTCGAATAAAAAACAAACCTTTTGATTCCTAAAATACCTGGCGTGCTGTAAATATAACAAAGTCACGGCAGAATAAATTCCAATCCTGGGATTATATACAGTATAAAAAAGGCAAGTTACTCCCGTGTCCTATGGAAAAAAATTACAGTCCTTCAACCAGCTTTCATTCGCAGGTCTTTGAGCAACTGCATTGTCTTCCCCACTTCAGAAAGACCAGAGCAGGGGAAAAAAACACAGAGTGAGCAAGAGGACGCTTGAAAGGCTCTGAAAGGACTGAAAGGCTCTGGCTCCGCTTGGTGTGTAGAGGTTGTGTTGGGGGCACTGGTCCGGCCCTCCATGTCTGACTGAAAGAGCAGGCGCGATCCCTCTCCCCTTCTGTATCCTGTATCCTGTATCCTGGTCCAGATTTCTGTAAAGCAGCGCGGCACCCAGAGAGCCAGAAGGAGCTGCTGAACTGCTCCGGTTTAGCCAAACAATTTCGCTGGCTTTGCTCATTAAGAGCCGAGCTGCAATGCAGACCTGCGGATATGCCAGCCCTCCAGGACCAGGACTGCCCACCCTTGGTACAGAGGAGTGCCGCCAAACGAGACTG